TTACTCTTAAATTTATCTAATACCATAACATTGGGCAAAGCCACAGCCGCCTGTCTCCGCCACCCCCGTGGCAGAGACAGAAGCGAGCCATCATGTCGGGCAAAGCCACGGCCACCTGTCTCCGCCAACCCCGTGGCAAAGAAAGAGGCGAACCATCATGTCGGGCAAAACCGCAACCATCTGTTTGCCCCCCCCCCGTGGCAGAGACAGAGGCGAACCATAACGTCGGGCAAAGCCACGGCCACCTGTCTCCGCAACCGCCAGTTTCAGAGACAGAGACGAACCGCCCCGTGGCAAAGACAGAGGCGAACCACAATGTCCCTGCGCAAAGAAAGAGGGAACCATAACGTTGGGCAAAGCCACAGCCGCCTGTCTCCGCCACCCCCGTGGCAGAGACAGAAGCGAACCATCATGTCGGGCAAAGCCACGGCCACCTGTCTCCGGCAACCCCGTGGCAAAGAAAGAGGCGAACCATCATGTCGGGCAAAGCGTTTGCCCCCCCCCCCGTGGCAGAGACAGAGGCGAACCATAACGTCGGGCAAAGCCACGGCCACCTGTCTCCGCAACCGCCAGTTTCAGAGACAAAGACGAACCGCCCCGTGGCAAAGACAGGGAACCATAATGCCCCTGTGCAAAGAAAGCGGGAACCATAACGTCGGGCAAGGCCACAGCCGCCTGCCTCCGCCAACCCCGTGGCAAAGAAAGATGCGAACCATCATGTCGGGCAAAGCCGCGACCATCCGTTTGCGCCCCCCGTAGCAGAGACAGAGGCGAACCATAACGTCGGGCAAAGCCACAGCCACCTGTCTCCGCAACCCCGAGTGGCAGAGACAGAGACGAACCGCCACCCCGTGGCAAAGACAGAGGCGAACCACAATGTCCCTGCGCAAAGAAAGAGGGAACCATAACGTTGGGCAAAGCCACAGCCGCCTGTCTCCACCACCCGCGTGGCAGAGACAGAAGCGAATCTTACTGAGAAGGTCAACCTGCTGATTGGCGAGGGGCGTGAAAATGTTTTTGAGAAGGTGCACTTCGTTGTCAAGCGAAGCCTTCAAGTGTTGCAGCGCAAGATCCTGGCAGATGATAGACCTGTGCCTTCCAGAGGCTGATGCTCATGCTTCGCCGAACAAGTGAAATTCTTGCATCTCCTAAAGATTGGTCTCATCACCTCAGGAGGCAAGCAGCGCATCAAGCTTGTAGATCGGAGTCCGGGGTCCCCCGTCACGGATGGATCTGAAAACAACAGTTGTATGCAACGCCAATACCAGATCCCGGATGTCTGAGGATTTTCAATCAGGAAATATCTTCTGTGCATCAACGGATACCGCGCAATGGATGTCACCCAGACACTGTTCTGGTCTTGTTGGATGTTTTGCATATTCGACAACAGACAGGTGCCGCGAGAATGAGATCAGGAGGTTGCTCCTTGCTAATCTCCATCACCATGTGTTGTGGCTTGGATGGCATTACATCGAACCCGCCGCGAATGTCGGCGGGTGTCCGAACCTTCGGCTCCCGTAAGTGGAAAGCGGGAGACGGGAGGCATGAATCTTGCCTTTACGTACACAGTTCTGGTTGAGGTACCAGATGTCCTCTCAATTTGACGGGCTTCTTGAAAAGCCTGCTTCGGCAGTTGCTTGATCTGGATGGCTGTCACATCGTCCTCATTCCTGTTGATCGTCAATTGAGTTGGTGTTGCAACATGATGGAACTGAGCATGATCTTGAGTTGCGCCTTCAGGAGCCGAACTGCTGCTGCAGCTCGGTTCGGCCATGGGGTATTCGGTCCTAGCGATATTGAACGATGAAGGCCTGATCTGCTACAATTGACCCGGGCTGCAAGTGGTATACTGGTCGAATAGTTCCTGAGGACATTGATGTCCTCGGCTTCCGTGTTGTCACTTCGCCGCCCCTGCAGTGAGCAATGTTGTTGCTCCATCCAAAATGATTTAAAAAAATGATGTGTTCCCCAGTTCCAAAAAAACTTGACAGTGATCAATGAACGTCATGTCGAAGTCCACTTGTCTTGCTTCTGGATAGTGCATGTCGTGCTGCTTGGCAAACTTCGCACTCACTGTCGAATGAATCATATGTAGACTTCGGCAAGTGCAGCGGTAGGGGTTCTGAAGCGAAATTGGTCGGCAGTCATCTCTTCGGGCTGTGACAATCGCTGATGGATTTTGCCAATTCGAGCGAATTGTCGGCAAAGGTGAACATGGTCTTGCCTTTCCACAGGCCAATCATTGGTTTGTTTGCCTGGGATGTAAGGCGCCAGTTGCCTTGAAGGATGTCTGGTCTTGCGCAATTGGACCCCAGTTGGTTTGAACGAGGCGTGATGTGCACATGGGTGAGCTGCTTGTTCTTCTTGTCGGGAACCCAACGATCCTGTCTTTGACACCCTATAACCTTTGGAGTTGCCGTGTCCTTCTTTGTCTCTGCGACTTGGATGCAAGCAATTTCACCATCAGATTTCAGTCTTGCTACTCCAGCAAGATTGACAAGTGCATGTCCTGCGCCAGATACTGGAGCTGCTTGACAGTCTAGAATGCCTTACATGCTTGCCGCACTCGACGGTTATGTAGAGGTTCCGCATTTGACTGATACTGAGAAGTATCGGTACCGTGCTTTCTCTGCAATGGCCGCGGACGGTTTGGATTTTCCTTTGTCATGTCCGCCTTTTCCTTTGCCATTGGCATATGAGGGGTAAACTTTGTTCCCGCCGTAAGGATATTGGAATTTTGATTTTTCTTTCTTTCCCTTCTTTCCTTTGCCTTTTCTGCAAAATGCCTGGTCCGCCGGATGCGCTTTTCCAAAAAGTTTTGAAGCCACCTCGTTGGCGACCCTTTTCTTCTTCCGAATCTTCAAATCTGCCCAGACAATTTTCTCGCAATGAAAGCATCATTCTCCTCAAGGACCCAAAATGTCTCTTCATCATTGCTTGCCATGTATCCTCATCCTCAACCCGGAAGCCTTCTTCTCCTTCATATTCTCCTGGCTCTAGGATGAAGAACGTGTTGCTTCTGTTTCCTGTAGGAGGTCATTGGATGGATGTCCTTGTCGTGGTGAAGAGATCGTGGTATTGCGTCTTCAGCATCTCATAGGAGTAGTGGTCGAGAGTGATGTTCCTCAAGCACATCGCACTGATCAGTCCTCCCCGCTGATCCGACAACTCACTTTGGATTATGAAAAATTGTGCTTGAGATTGTCCCCGAAGAAAATGCTTCTTTCTGATGAATTGTCTGAGGGCTGACACCGGCGGCTTGCTGCTGCTGGGCGCTTGTTCTGTTCTTTGCTTCTTGCACGGACGATCGAAACTCTGGTGACTGTGCCGTGTATGTTAACATCATGTCCATCCAGGCTGCCTTCAATCTCTTCAGAAGGATGTCGAACTTGGGTGTGTAAATGAGGCTCTGAGTTGTTTCTCCAATGATTGAAAAAGCTGAGAAGCCTGTACAGGTACACATTGGTTATGCGCTTGGGAAAGTACTGCTTCAGCGTGTTCTTGAAACAGTTGATTGACATCTTCGTTTGGAGTCCTGAAGCAACGTATTGACGAGCGCTTCCTTGTACATGTTTGCATCTCCAATGAGTTCAGGAGTGTTGTTGTTTTTTTGCGCGCACCTTTTTGCGTCTGCCCACGCGGTGAAACTGGGACCGGCGCCGAAGGAGGCGAGACAAAGAAGGCAGCAAAGGCGAGAAGAACGCCATGCGAGGTCCGGCGCCGCATCCGCAGCAGGCTGCGCGGGCGAGAGCCAAGCGCCGCCCAGCAAGGTGGACACCACGGCGCGCTGGAGAGCTACGCCGAGGAGGCCCCACCACCGGCGCTGCCACGCAACGGCAGCAGAGCGGCGCAGTGCCTGGAAGCTTCGATTGTAGTGAAGGTTGTCCAGTCATCGACGAGTTCTTCATATGTGAACCAGGTGTCTTTTCTGTCGTACGATGGCGGCTGCTTGGTGGTCATCGACAAATTGAGCTTCCTCAGTGAAGCCTGTTGGTCGGCCTGCACTTGGGTAGGAGCCTTCTCCATCTGATGACATCTCGTATGGATCGACGCGGGAAAACCGGCTCGGCTGCCACAATTGAGGCTACCTTATCCCGGAGGCAGGTGCCTTGCAGATGGTCTATGATAGGTCCCTGGATCTATTCCACACGATGATCGGTGTCAACTGTGGTAGTGATAGAGTGTATATGGAAAGTCCCTGGTAGTAGGTTTGTTGGAAAGAACCTGCGCAGCAGTCCGCGATGGCTTCCTCTTTTAGCTATTGCGTCACACGCGCAGACTAAGGTACAAGATTGCATGAAGATATATGAAGATCAACACATAAATCGCTTGGTGCGCCTCCGGGCACTCCGCGCGCCTCCAGCCGTGCGCCGCGCGGCCGAGGCGGGTTGGCGCCGCAGGTGGTGGGCACTGCTCAGCGCCGCCTTGCAGCGCGCCCTCGCTTCCACTCTGCTCGGAGGACGTTGGCTTTCCCCCGCGCGGCCGGCTGCGCAAGGAGAGCCCGACCTCGCCGATGTCCTTGCTTTGGCTGGCCCGTCCGGGCCCAGCCTCCTGCCTTTGCGCGGCTAGTCGCCACGTCGCACGCGCGCGCGCGCGCGCTTCGTTCGCCTTTCTCGGAGGCCGTTTCGGGTGGGGGGGGTTGAGGGTTCCCTGGGTCTCACTGCCGCTGGACGGGCAAAAAAAAAGCAAAAAACATAAATCAAGCACAGGGGGGTGGGGATCCCGGAAACCCCCTGGCCGCGTTGCCGTGCCGCTGCTGGAAAACAGAAATGCTTGGGCCAGTGCTTAGTGTGTGTAGTGTTCCTTCCCATGTTGACAAGAAGTGCTTGCAAGTCCTTGTTCATGCTTTAAACATTGTGTGAGAATAACCTTCAATGATTGATAGGTTCTTTTCTTTTTCCGCCCGCCTTGTCTTGGAATTGACGGCGTCAGCCCACTATTTTTTCTGTTGTGAGCCAAGTTGGTCACTTTTCATTGCCCATCCGTTGAAAACTTGGAAGGCTCAATTTTCAAGTTTCAAAGCCCTTGTTTTCCCCAACAGCCATGAATGACCTCGCGGAGTCCGTGTTCCAGCCTGGCATCTTGGTGCTGGAAATTGGTCTTTTGCTTAAGCTGACCCAGCTGGCGGTCTCTGCTCTTCAAGCTAACGCGTGGTCCCCTCGATCCATGCTGGCACATTGGGTAAAGCAAGGGCTGCGCCTGTGCAGACACGTGAGAAGACACTACCTGGAACAGGCAGCTTCGGACCAAAGTGAGCAGGAACTGGCGAGACTGCGCTGGAACTGGACCCGCAGGGCTTGTTGGGTGATTCTTGGGATAAACATGCCCCGGCTGCTGTCGCGGCAAAGACGGCCATCGGATGGGAACGAGTACGATCTTGTACTTCTTTGGGTATGCGCCATGGGACTGGTGATTGCGTGGTGTCCACGATTGATCAAGCCCTGGGGCCAGGATGTCTTGTATATGATTTTCGTCTTGGGCTTGGACGCCGCATTTTTGATTGAAGGGTTATCCCACAGTATCGACGTCAGGGATGTGCTGACTTTCACCTTTGCCCCACGCTTTATATACGCGATAATGGCGAACCGATCATCATGCGTGGTTTTGTGCACAACCGCCCACTTGCTCCAAGCAATCCATTTCACCGCAAGGCAAGCTGATCGTGATGTGGCCATCAGCGTCCCAGGTCTGTTCCCGATATTTCTTTCGATGTTTTGCGGCGTGGTGGTCGTTCGAAGGCTCCTGCTCGAGAATGTGCTCCTGAACATGGACGTGCAGAAGCGGACCGTGGAGCTGGGCGCAGTCTCCGGTTTGCTGACTGCATGCTACGACGCAGTGCTAGAGGTGGACCAAGCATTGAGACTCACTCAGGATCCTTGGCAGTGAAAAGTGTTGCTTCATGTTGTGTTCAGAGCCATCGGACCGGAGCTTCCAAACATGCAAACCAAAGTAAACCAAATGACCCCTTCAAAGTGTTGGATGTATAGGGCTCTGCCAGTTTGCTGCGACCTTGCAAGGATTCGCCCCAGCTCTCTGCCATGTTATTACGAACGCAAGGAGTGGGAAGTTTGTCTGGGGCATCTTTGCTGGACTTCTTTTGCCACGGCGACAGGGCCCGCATTTCAGAGCAACTTCAGAGATCCACCGCCCAGTCCGCCGTGGCGTTGAATGCTGACATGAGCGACTCGGATGTCAACCGTGTGAAGGTGGAGCTGATCTGCGTACAGTTTGACAGCCTGAGAAGTGAGAGGCCACGCGTCAATCTGAACACGTATTTCTAGGTTCCCCAGTAGTGCCCTGTTGCCCTTTTTTGGGGGGAGAGTTCCGCTATTAAAATGGACCACAGTACTAGACCACGGTTGGCCCGAAAGCATCACAGCCCGGTGATCATTCCCGCGCAAGTTTGTTGCTTGATGTGGTCACGAGCAACACACAGCAACTAACCTTGTTCCTGCTATCTTGCCACCTACCGGACCCCCCCTCACACGAGTTTGCCAAGCACGTCAAAGATGACACATATGCCGCCCTCGAGAAAAACAGTGACTACAATGCAAGTGACTCTCATGATGATTCTGCGCAATGACTCTCATGATGATTCTGTGCAATGACTCTCACGATGACTCTGTGCAATGAGTCTCGTGATGACTCCGTTCAATGACTCTTGTGTGATGACTCTACGCAATGGCTGTCATATGACTCTGTGCAATGACTCTTGTGTGATGACTCTATGCAATGGCTGTCATGATGGCTCTGCGCGGTGACTCTCGTGCTGATTCTGTGCCGTGGCTCTCGTGATGACTCTGTGCAAACGACTCTCGTGATGACTCTGTTGAATGACTTGTGTGTGATGACTTTATGCAATGGCTGTCATGATGACTCTGTGCAATGACTCTGGTGTGGTGACTCTATGCAATGGCTGTGATGACTCTGTGCAATGACTCTCATGATGCTTCTGTGCAATGACTCTTCCTGCAGTTCCGGCTGCAATGGAACTTTTCAATCAGAAAACTAGTACGCGAAGTACTTCCCGAAAGCTCCGGCAGCACTTGCGCAGAGCAACTTGCACAGAGCGCTGCCGCTTGCGCAGAGCAACCTGCGCAACGCAAATTGCACAGAGCACTTGCGCCTGGCAGCTAGCAGCTAGCGCAGGGCAACTTGGGCAGACCAAAGTCAGGTGTTCCATTGGGAGAATTATTATCTCAGCACAGAGTCATCATGACAGCCATTGCATAGGGTCATCGCACAAGAGTCATTGAACGGAGTCATCGCCCTCGTGCTCGCACAGGAGTCATCATGAGTCATTGCCCAGAGTCCTTGTACTCCGCGTACTACAGTTGTACTTAAAAGTTGCAATTCTCCAGCCGGAGCTGCATACTACGCTTGCACTTAAAAGATGCGATTTCTGGCTAGAAAAGCTTCCGCGGACCAGGCGGGGATCGACCCCGCGACTGCGCGACTCCGAGAGCAGCCGCGCAAACCACGCGACAACTTCCAAAGACCACTTCGCAAGCAACAAATTCGCCGGCGCCACAGCGAGAGCGCTTCGACACGCACGATCCTCGCCCGCGCGCGAGCATGTTCAGAATCGAAAAAAATCCAGTTGTTGCACATCGACCACGCCGATCCCCGCAGTTTTTTGACCTCAGCCACACGAATCTCCGCAGAGAGAGGGTCGCGCGCGCGAACCGCAGAAATCGTAAAAAGTCCCAGTTTTTTTACCTCGACCACACGAATCTCCGCAGGGTCGCTCGCGCACCGCGCAAATCGTAGAAAGTCCCCAGTTTTTTGACCTCGATCGCAAAAAGTCCTGAGTTTTTTGACCTCGACCACACGAATCTCCGCAGAGGGTTGGTTTTCGTAGAGCCCTACCCCGCCGCCCTAAGAAGAGAAGAAAGGAATTTAAAACTCGTCATGAGTGAGAACTCTCATGAGCATTGCTCCTCGCCAGTGACTCTCACGAGCATTGCTCCTCACAAGTGACTCTCATGAGCATTGCTCCTCGCAAGCGACTCTCTGCTATGACTCTGTGCAATGACTCTCATGATGATGATGACTCTGCGCAATGGCTCTGATGATGATAACTCTTTGCAATGACTTTCATGAATCCAACGGAAGAGCCCTTCGCCATGCTTTCGGGACAAAAGGGTACCCTTATTCTATCCTCTCGACTGGAGGACCTAGACTTTTTTCCCCAATTCAATTAGTTCATGGGTCAAAACTCAAAACGAGGCAAACCCGGCACATTGATGAGGGAGCTGTTGTGAGGTTGATAACGGCTTCACAGGTTTTGAGAAAAGAGGTCACCTTGTAGCAATCAGGGTGGAGATCGTGTGAGGTTCTAAGCCGTGGCTGTAGAGAACATCGCGCCGTGGTTGTAGAGAACATCACGCCGCTGGATTTCAGTTTGGAGAATCATTGAATCGCACTTCTCAACACCTTGTCAAACTTCATCATTATCGTTCTCCCACGCGGCCCTTGCACAGCCTGAATATGGAAAAGCAGTCTTCCCATTTCTTACAACTGGGCCAGGGCTTTGGCGGCGACAGGGGTTCTGGCTGTAGGTTTTCAACCTTGGCTCCAGGGGCGGTTGATTGGAACAAGTGTGAGATAAGCTTTGCATTGCTTCTTCGCATTTCTTTGTGTCAGTATGTTTTGGTTTTTTTCCCGTATGTATTGCTTGTATGCATTTGATTGCATTGGTATGCGTGCCGCAAGCATTTTTGACAGCATTTACATTGCATACAAAAGGCATGCGAAACGAATGCACATTTTATGCGTGCATGTTGTATGTATGATTCTATGAATTTTGTATGGCTTCAACCTGCATCTCTTTTGCATTGTTTGTGGCTTTGGCTTCAATCCCTTCCAAATGCATTCTAACTGCATGCAGAAGGCATACAACAAGCACGCAGCATGGGCAGTTGTTGCATGCATTTTGTATGTTTCTGCATATTGTATGCATTTTTGCAAGTATTCAAAATGAGCAAAGGGCATGCAAAATGCATGCACCATTTTGGTATGCATTGTGTTTGAGCTTTTGGTCCTGGATGTTCGCATTTTGGGCTTGGGTCCCTTCCACATACGCCATGCGTGCAGCATGCATACAAAATGCACGCAGCATGCAGATTTGTGTGCATTTGTATTTGTATGTCCTGTATGTTTGCGTGTCTGTGCATGTTGTATGCATGTTGTATGCATTTTGTATGCATTATGGGCATGCAACCTGCATGCAAACAGCATGCAAAATGCATGCACGTGTTTGTGTATGTTTAATTTATTTGTGGCGCTGGTTGTACGCATTTTTGGCTCTGGCATGGCTAGCTTCAGACTACACGTTGTATGCACCTTGCATGTCTTCAAATTGCATTTTTGCATTTTTGCGAGACGGGTGCTTTCGTGCATGGTGCATCCTTGTGTTTGCATTTTGTCTGGATATTGTATTTGGATGTTGTATTTGGATATTGTATATATTTGGATATTGTACGTGGATGCCTTCCACATGCGTACAGCACGCGCACGAAATGCATACAAAATGCATGCTGAATTTGTGCATTTCGTATGCATCTGCGGCATGCACTTTCGAGTTTATTTTGTATACGTGTATTTTGCTCTGGCGTGGCAGCCTCCAAAAATACATACAAAGGGCATACTTCAAGCACGTGCCATGCATTTGTTGTATGTATTTGCTGTATGCCTTTGTACGCATATTGTACACATTGTGGCATACACTATGCATACAAAAGGCATGCGAAATGCATTCACGATATTGGTGTATTCTGTATGTTTTTTGGCTCTGGCATGGCTACCTCCAGACTACATTTTGTATGCACTTTGTGGGCATTCAACCGTTGGAAGCATGCAGTTTGCCTTTTGTACGCTTGTTGTATGGATACTGCATTTGGATGATTGGATGCCTTCCACATGCATACAAAATGAGTACGAGATGCATGCAAAAGGTCCAAAGTGCATGCTGCATTCTTGTGTGCCTTTCGTACTTTGAAACTTCATTGCGTATGTATTTTGTATGAGTTGGAACGCATTTGGCGAGAGAGGTGCATGTCATGCATGGTGCACGGATTTGTTCATGCCGGTTGTATGCAGTTTTGTATGCATATTGGGTGCTGTCTGGGATGGTGTTTGACGTGCTGGTGATGGCGCGGCCGCATCTTGCGAGATTGACGGATGCCAGGGGGGTGCTGTTGGGGGGGGGCGCTGTTAGATGCTTGTGATGGCAGCAGGGCCAGGGAGGCACGCAGCGTGGGTGCAGGTGGAGTTTTTCGCTATCTGGGGCCTGTGCAGGTAGGTGTATTTTTGTTTTGCTCCCTTCTATTCTTGCTGAAGTTGTGCATTGGCATCTTTTGCTGAACACTTTTAGCAGTGCAGACAGCGACTAGATTAGACCGCAAAGAGGAATCTCTCACCAAATAGGCTTTGATTAAACAGATTTAGACTAGAATATCAAAGGATTCAATAAGGACATTGTTGTTGTAAAGCTCCTTGTTGTAAAGCTCCTTGTAAGGCTCCGCACAAGCTCCTTGTAGGGATACGCAGAAAGATTCTTACAAAGCTCCTTTTCAAGGCTCCTTGTCCTTGCGCAAATCCTTTCAGCACACACACAATATACATACAATTGGCATACATACTACCTGCACCATGCATACAATGCACCTGTCTGTCTCGCATGCTTGTGCAGTGGTCGGGGAAGTATCTCTAGTGTTCTCTTTTGCGGGTTGGAAGGTAGCAACGCCAAAGCCAAACGTGCATACGACGTGCACCAAACAATGCAAGCAATACATGCACACAAACATGCAGCGCGCATGTTGCATGCCGTTTGCTGGCATGTTGCAAACACCAAATTGTATGCGTTCGCGCATGCCCCCACACACCCGGCCGCCAATCCAGCACCCCAAGCACGAGCAGCACCTGCACAAGCACCCCAAAACTGCATGCCCCCTAGCAGCACCTGCACCAGCACCCCAAACCCCGTAGCATCCACTCTCGCAAAAATGTGCCTGCATCGTCACCAGCGCAAAAATGTGCCTGCATCGTCACCAGCACCCAGCGCCCCAGACTGCGATGTCAATCTCGCAAATCAATTTCCCCTCTTATATTAGAAGTTGGAACCCCAAATTTTTTGTAAACGCTGCGAGTTGCCCCTCGGCCCAGCCAAGAGCGCGGCGTCTGTGGTTCGACTGCAAGCAGAGAGCTGGTCAAGTGGCATGGACAGGTTCTCGCGTCGTTGGACCAATTGATGTCATGGGAGGCGATGCGCAGGAGTGAGACTGGGCTGAGCCTTGCTTGGGTGGTTGCTGGTTGGGCTGGAGCTGAGGCGAGTCTCAGACACTAGTGTCAGACATGTGAGTCTAGTCTCAGACATGCGGTTGAGACAAGGCTGGCTTCGTGTTTTTGCTTGGGTGGAAAATTCTCAATTGTTGGGCGGTCGGACTGCGCTGGTTGGCGGGTCCTGCCTGACGGGCTGGGCTTTGTTGCGAACTTTGGTCCCAAAAAGCATTGACCTCTGCTGGCCCTGCCAGGTGCTTCCTGGTGGGTGTACGTGAGATGCAGGACTTGGAACGTGGTCCGCTGCCAGCTCCATCACAACCAATAAGATTCAAAGGGGATGAGGAATTGTTTGTGATCTTTGATGTGTACTCGCTCGAAATTTGTATTATGAGTGGCGGGATGCAGCATCTATGCCAGCAGCAGCTCGTGGGCGAGAACATGCCGGATGCTCGAAAAGAAGTGAAAGCACTTTTGACGTGGAGAGTGTGTTTGCATTTTTATGCTTCATCAAACCCAGCATGGTGATGGATGAATGTTATCAAGGCGATGCTGAGACCTGATGTAAAGAGCCAACCAACATTGGAGATGTCCTAGCCCCAGTTGCTGAAGAGATTTGTAGATGTTTTCCTGTGGTGAATGTTGAATGCCCGTTCTTCCCATGCCTTAATGCCCTATACTTTTGGAATTCAAGGAAGATATTCTGCACATCGCCAGCCTGGAGACTCGACCATCCCTGAGTGCACAACTGCAGCTCATCGGCAACACATTTGCTGAGCGAGCGCCGCGGACGGAGACAGACCAGGAGCCCAAGTGCCAAACGTTGGTCACTGGCACCCTCGAAATCCGTTTCGCAACAATCTGTATATATCTGTATTAAACAAATCCTTGCAGGGCGTTTTTTGCTCACGGATTTCACCGTTCAAACCCCAAGTCGGGCGAAGTTTTGACCCACTGAAAGTAATGAACAACTTAAAGGGTTTCAAGTCTGGTTGCAACTAGGTCTGCCACGAATTTGATCTTTGGTCTGTCAGTTGTTTGGTTCTTTTTCATGAACGCATAGCCGTTTCATGAACGCATAGCCGTTTCATGAACGCATAGCCATGACTACATATTCGCGTGATTCGCGTGCATAAGCCGTCAAAACCACGTCACGCAGCATGGGCATAGCCATTCTAGCCAACCGCGGGACAACGGATGGCATCGGGTGTTTCTGCGTTGGAGGTGGCTATGGTGACCTTTGACTTGTTGAACCTTGGCGAGCGGAGGGCGACAGTGACCATCGAGCACGACCAAGTGTTGGAGCGCTGGGTTGCCAGCATGGTGATTCCCAAGGCGACTTTGACCGAATCCAACCTCCAAAGCTTAGCGGAGACTCAGCCACTACCTGATCCCGGACATTCTTTTGGACTCACTTCACCCAGGTCGCGCTCGCAAAGGTCCCATCGTAGCGGATCCCGCTCGAGGCGTTCCAGTAGATCCAGCCGGTCCCGGGCTGAAATACGTCCGTCCCGTACTGATCGGTCAGGGTCAATTACCCAGCTACATGTTACCAAGACCCCGCTGTGATAGCAGTTCCGGGCCGCAAGGACCATCGGAAACCTTCGGGACATGTCACATGAATTGTGAATAGACGTCACGTAAGGACGATCCACCGTTGGGTTCATTTACGCTTAATACGTTTGAAGGCCCACGGAACATGCATCATGGCTTGCGCAAGTAATTGCGCAGCTTGAATTCGACCCAGTTTCCCCGATTCATGGCCCAAAAGAGCCTTTGAAGTTGTGGTACAACATTAAGTGTCGGAGCCACAGCTTGCGGAGGAAGCTCCGGGGCATATTGAGAGAAGGCACAAAGGGCAATTGCCGTTGCACTGCACTGCAGATTGGGATGGAACCCAAACAGGCATCGTTCCTTCTGCCCGAGTTTGCTTGTAGACTTGTCCTCACGCCAGGGAGCAACCCCCTCAGAAATAAGCCCATGGTCGTGTTCAGGTCCCAGCCCAGAGCCATGCTGTTTGCGAGCGTTTTTTCTTGTAGTCTTGGCTCTGCTGCAGTTGGCCGACTGACGGACGGCCACAAGCACACACCATGAGCGTTCTTGCAGCACCACACCCACTTTCAGTCAGGAAAGTCAGGGGTGCATGAGTCAGAGCTTGGGGCTGCGTGGGAACTTTATAAAGTGCCTGGCACCGCAGCACGGCCCAGATCACAAACGTGACCGCTGGGCTGCGCTGCGAGGCCAACGCGCATGGCATGAAGGCCGCCAAGGCAACGCTGCGAGTCTCCCGTGCTGCTCCCAAGCCGCTTCTTGGAACCAAAGCCAGGCCATCGTGTTTGCAGCGATGGGCTGTGTTTGTCCGGCGCCCCGTTTTTGTGTTCCTTCGAAAAGCTGCAGGTTTTTTTTGCTTAAAGATGTTTTTGCGGGTATCTCCATTTGGAGGCAGCCAACATGGACGTAGGTTTGTAGTTTGTAACAGTGAAAACACATGAGCGGCGGAAAATCCAAGAGGTCGCAACGCTTCACCGAGGCGACCGTCGGCGGCCGCCGTCGTGCCCGCCAACATCACCGTAGGGTGCCGTGTGGCGGTTCGAGTCGTTGAAGGGGAGGACCCACTCCCAGGCCGGCGCTGTGAAGCCACGCGTGGGTTGCGACCTCACGCCCGCATTAGAACATAGCACGAAAGAGCGCCCTCTTGAAGCGCTTGAAGGCAGTGCGGCGCGAAATGACACAAGGATGGCAAAAGGGGTTGAAATGGAGTTGTTATCCTTGTATGACATTCAACCTCATCATCCACCCCGGCCGTCCATTCTACCGTTAAGAAAAGACAGAGACAGCTGGTCACTCCTTGCGTCACAAGCCCCCAACCCTTAAACTCAACAAATATTTGTTGGCACAGGATGACTCCAATGGAGTGAAGGTACGGGAGTTGCTTTCCCTCTTTTCTCATCTCTGCCCGGCTTTCCTCCGCCAGGCATAAGATCCCAAAAAGAAATATACACAAGAAGACGCCAAACAATAACACAAAACACAATTGCAACTTGTAAAGTGTCCCAAGGTCAAAAGACCCATTCTCCAAAAGCAACGGTAGGTTTCCACATGAAGTTTGCGCGGCCAACTATGTTTGTTGGTGCAAGAGGATGTGTTTGTGTGTGTGTTTTTTGCGGGGAACCTCTTTTCGCTTGGGTAGAAAGCAATGTTTTGAGTCCCTTGAAACAACCCCATGTACAAACAAACTGCAGAACAATCCAGGCGAGCAAAGCGGGGGTTGCGCAGCGGGGCGTGTGACCCATAGGGTCTGCAGTTTGTTGCAGTTGACATTCTGTTTCACAGTTTCAGAATGAGGTGGCAAGGAAAATCAAAGGGAACTGTGCTTCCAAAAATTAGTAGAAAGCATATGTGCATGTTATCAAAAACACAAAAGCGCCCGTCTTCTCGGCCAGGCGTTGTGCTCTTCATCGGGGAAACCAAATTCGCCGAAGGCCCCTGGCTTGGCATCGAACTGGACGAGCCCAAGGGCAAGAACAATGGCAAGGCTGGGAACACTTGGAACATGTTTTGTTTTTGTTTATTTTCTTGTTTCTCAGAACGAAGGGTTGTTCTTGTTTTGCGGCCGCTTATCGCGTGTCACACCTGTAGCTTTTGTCGCCCCACGTCCCCAAAAACCATCCAACTCGTGCAGGAGGGCTTCCGGAAACCAAAAGCAAAGTGATCTGTTGGTTCTTTTCTCACTCCCTGAGTTCATGAAATTTAAGCTTGTTGGAAAGACAATTTTACAGCGGCAAATAACACGTTGATGTGTTTGCCAATCCACACAGGAAGTGAGTTATTTGCAGTTTTCTTTGCATGGATGCTAGCATGCAACTTGTATCAACCGAGCAAACGGGCTTGGGAGTATATGGCCTACGGTTTTGGGAGGGTCTTCAGTTTGGGAGTCTGTTGTGTTCCGTGGAAATGGTCATTCGCAACGCCTTGGAAATGTGTGGTTTATTGAGGTCCCTGGTCATCATTCAGTCTTCGTTGGAATTTACTGTTAACAGCTTCGCCATCACTTTGGGAAGCTGCCCCACAGGAAAGCCAGACGGTTTCTCACGGGCCCATCGTTGTAGCCGTACAAGTGGTACATGGTCTGTGACTGATGGCCATATCATCCTTGGCGCATCTTGCTTGGATATTAGGACTTTAATTTTTTGCCAACTAATGGGCTTTCCATTAAACCACTAAAGTTAAACTGTTAGCGGGGGAGCAAAAAGCAACCGAATCATTGTCGAAAGGTGCAGGACGTGGTGTACTTCACTTGCCGTCCGAATCACGGCATCTTCGTGCGGGCTGCAAAGGTGTTGAAGCTCGAAGAGCAGCCGAAGAGTAACGCTCAGGCGCCGCTTGGTAACTTTTGACCTCATGGGACAGTTTCTACACTCATGGGAAGGGGGTTACTTGAGTGCGCGTTGTCGCCGGAAAGGGGGGGGGGCATGAGTTTGCCATGGCTTCAGGAAAGAGTGTGAGGAGGCAAGCGAAGAATGATTCTGTTGTCCTAGTGTTGTAAAAGCTGATCAGGTCCTCACAATGACACATTATGCAAAGGGTTGTTTTTCGGGATGTCTGAAAAGTGTTTTTTTAGGATCCACGCTCGCAACCTGTGAGCACTTTTGTTGCAGGAGGCTTCCCCTGCGAACGCAGACGCGCCCTGGCAGCAAGAGTGGTCAATACACAGGTGTCACGGATAACTTGGCGGGCTTAACTCGTGGTACCAACCTATAATTTTGGTGCTCGTAGAAGGGGTATAGATCAGAGATTTCTAAAGGACTACCCCGCTCTCAGTTGAGCTTCTTCTAGGGAAAGGGGCAACGCAGATTAATCAACCTGGTGGATTAATGCGCCAGAAGTGAAGGATTCCGACTTATATTGGACGTTGCCTTGCCAATCAGCGGTTTCAAACTGGGCTGCACTTGATTGCCCAGGCATCTCAGTTTGCCGTGGGCGCGCGGGTTTTGGTGAGGACTTTTGCCCAACGCACGCGGTGGGCACAGTTGGGCCACATGCTTAGTCCGGACCCGGAAGTGAGCCTCTAAGCCAGCCTAAAAAGGGTACCGAACAATCCACGCGAACACATATTTGCTGGCTCTGGTGAAGGAGGCTAGACTCCTTGACATCGCCGGAACGAGATCCCTTGGGTTTCCTTTTTCACCTTTCCAAGTGGGGCAACCTCAGAAGCCAGACGCAGAAGGTGTTGGATGCGGTTTTCCTTTGGTTTGGTTGATTAAACACTTCAAAGAGGAGGCAACCTCAACGCAACTTGATGCGTGTTTTGCTTCGGTGCCGGCGCAGGACTCTGGAGAACGTCCAGGGCACGGTGCGCTTCAACGGCAGCACCCAATTCGCAGAGGGCGAATGGCTGGGAGTGGAGCTGGACCAGCCGCAGGGCAAGAACGACCCTGGGCTCAAAGAGTTTCGCATGGTTTTCTGAGTAGTTTTTTCTCCGGGAGCCCGATGGCCACTTTGGAGGGGTTGTTGCGAGTTTGTAGTTGCTTGACTCGATAGGCAGGGCATGAGCTTCATGAATGAGCCCTCTAAACTCCCTGGTTGCCTTTGGCGGGGAATGAGCAAAGGAATGGCCCACGAGAAAAACCGTCCAACCAGCGGGTTCCTTTATTCGGGGGGTTTCCAACATCCGGACTGCCGGACTCAGTCATTCCCCGAGCCCCAAGGTTCGGGAACCTGGCGGCATGTCGGTTGGAGTGATGTCTGGGAACCCATGGGGGTTCCCCAATTTGAATTCATAAGCGCATGGTTGTGGAAACTGTGGCTTCAGGCTGCCACTTTTGGAGATGTCAAGATACACCAAGGGAATCCACAAAGTGAAGTAGGTATGAGAAGGGAGTTGGCTTGAAGGTGAAGTAGTCATGGGAATTGCCCATATTATCACAAAAAGGTTTTTTGTTCCCACAGCCTTTGTGAGGCAGATGATGCGGCAGATGCCTTTTTTCACTTGCCGATGTGTCGGTTTCTGTCTATGCTGTGTTTGTTTCACCTGTCGCCTTGCTTTGCTTTTCTAAGCTGAAATTGTAGCTGTTTTTTCTAACTATTTTGCAGTGCCAGCTTTTGCCGAGTCGCCCCCTGGCGACGTGAACGCAGATCCTCGAGCGTCAGTGGGGTCATTGCGTCGCCTTCGGGCCAACTTTTCAGGTCCATTGAGTTTGTGCAAGTCATCGGGTGTGTTCAGGTCGGACTTGGAATAGATGCTCCTACCCCCTTCTGGCCAGAAAGTCCTCCACGCAAAAGGCAAAGCAAACCGACCACTCGCGATTCGAAAGACCTCTCCGAGGACGGGACAGTTCGCGGGGTGGCATACTTCTCTTGCCCTCCCTTGCACGGGCTTTTTGCGCGGCCTGGATGCCTGGCAGCAACGGCATCAGTGAACACTAGACTCCGTGTTTGGGAAACTCGTGGCCCGCAAAAGTGTAGAAACTCTCTGAATGCGGATGAGTAAACACGTCCTATTAGGGGCTAGTTCGCCTTCAAAAGTTCTGAATTCCCACGGCACACCCCCACTACTGGAGTTGATTAATCTGGGGTGAACATTAGAGGGGCCGGTGATTTCAAAAGCCATGGCTTGCCGGGTTCAGTGCGAATTCGGCGTAGCATAGCTGCCAACATTTCCCCCGAGGAAATTTGGTGCTTGACCAATCTGCAGCCTCGTCCACGTCTCCAACAACTACACCGCAGAGTGCGGCAGAGACTTTGCAGGTAGCTCGCGCGGGGCATTCTCACGACATGGGCCACCCATGGACCACCCTCTTGCTGGCTTGCCATTTAGCAGGTATATAAGCTTGGACAGTTTCTGGAAGGAATTACATCTCAGCTTGGCATTTGGAAGACGTTTCCAGCCTGAATGATGAGTGCTTGGTAAGAAATGCCAATGAAACGTCATGAATCATCACCCCTGCAAAACATCAACTTTGCTCCACATGCATTGGCTTCCTGCCCTTTCCATTTGCCGTCAGGAGGCCCAAGATCCCGGATTTCCAGGCGAAAGCACACGCGAAGCGAGCAAGGCAGAACCGCTCCTCGCTGAGAAAAAAAACGCGCATGGGCTGAGCACTAGGTTCGTCCCTCCAATCCTTGTGAGCCACCCTACAGTCTGAAAAGATTCTGCATAAAGCAGCCAGTCCATTCAAATTGCTGAGCATAGGGTTGGCCCAATACCGTTCACTGCATGCTGCCCAAAATTACTAGGATCAACGGGTGTCTTGACGTCTTCTTGCGAGGGCGTGGGATCCGACAGGGGATCCAGAGGGTCGAGCCATTGCAGAAAAGAACTCGGAGACTTCTGAGAGGTTACGAAATGGGGCCTGGCGAACTTTTGGGGCTTGCTGTGCATGGTAGCCTCCAAGGGGGCCTGGTTATTATCTATCGGCTTGGCTTAGGTGTTCGAATTGGGGCCCATGCAAAGCAGACTGAACCTTCGTCGTGCGCGGCAAACCAAGAGCTGTTTCAGAACCACGGGAGTTTGGCGAATTCACCCCAAAAGCCGAAGAGTTGATTCCCCCAAGCGCCCAAAAGCCTATCAGTTTTGTGTCCTTCGGCTTCCCTTTCACGCCTTGCAGTCTTCTTCGGAGTTTTCTCTGCCAAGTCGGCAGAGCATCCTAACTGAGGCTGACCGTGAAGGTGCCCCAGGATGTTCTGCCACAGATATCGAAAGAGCTGAAGGAGCCGGGAAACCGCTTGCTTTGACCCCAGGCTTTGCCCTGCAGAGCCGTTTTTGTGCCAAAGACTAAGTGTTTGTGGGGCTGCCACCTTTGTTCAGCTTGGACAATGGAGGCACGCCCACGAACCACATGTCCCAAATGTTCGCTAAGTTCCCTTCGATAGCGGGCATGTTTCAGCCATGGCGGGCCCTCCAAAAACTTCTAAGAGTGGAAGTACATACCCCCTGTTCATACCCCTTATTTTCCATGGTTTCCAACACACTTTATAAGGGATATATGCCTCTTTTAGGGAGAGGCGTATGAACATCAGGCCTTTTGGGTTCATTAGTCCAAGGGGTAAAAGGGGTATGTACCTTGGCACTGGACAACCAAAGCAGCGAGAAACCGCGGGGATTTTACCCAAAAGGCTCGCTCGCGGGCGGAGGAGCAGTTCCTGAGCGAAGTCCAGCAGTTCGAGGAGTGGCGCACGGCGCCGCGCTGCTTGGGCAACCGGGAGCTGACTGGTTGGGGCGCTTTCTTGAAGGAGCAGCGTGCGCCTGTGCAGCACCAGCCCCGAGTCATTACTCCCAACTTTTGCTGGGATGCTATTGGGTTGTATTGCAACCACTTCTTCCTGAGCAGACTTTTTGGAATGCTACTTTAGTATTGCAAAAAAATCCCCGCTTTGCTGGGATGCTATTGGGTTTGCCTTTTCCACTGTGGGACAAGTAAGCAAGCCTACCCGGGTCCCGGGTAGAAACCCTTTTCCAAGGGAGGCGGCTCATTTTAGTCGAAAAGGCAAAGCATGGCTGGGATGCTATTGGGTTGGATCTTTAACTTTTGATCTTTAACTCAACTTTCTGGGAACATTCTTATTTTCCCACTAACCCCATTCAACTTCTTGGACCGGAGCGGGGGGGGGGGGTAGCCATGGAGCCCAGGGCGTGTGCGAATCACCCTTGAGAACAGTTTGGGGGTGATGCCTAAGAAGGAGTAAATACTTTGAGCATAGGTCCCATTTGGTCCACTTTTTCCGAGCTGGCCGGGGGTGTCTCTATCTTTTGAGGTGTCAAACTTCTTCACCCATGAATATGTGCTCGTGGATGTGGGCAAAGTCAGGTGTTTGGGCTGATTCAAGATCCCTGGACGCCTGGCGACATGTGCTGCCAAGAAAGGTAGGAAAGGGGGTGCAGACCTTGGACAACCTGACTTGCACATGAGCATGTTAGCAAGTTTTATTGGCTGGCCCTTTCTGCGAGTTGCCAGGGAACACAACGCAATTGAGATGTTTGGTGGACGTGGCTTCCCCTCAATCTGCTTTGGCCCGCTTCGTCCAATGGCAACAAATCACACCCCACTTTTCCGGCATGCCCCATGCCTGGCCGTGGCTCCTCCCCTGGTCAACTTTTGTCGCATAACTGGGATTTCAATCGCCCGGACCCTCTTGAAACCAAAGCAAGTCTGCCTTTACGGCGAGCTCCTGGGTGGAAGACGAGCTCATGAAGGACTTGCACTTGGGGACCCAATTCGTAGTTCTAATTTCGGAATCACTGCACTTGCTAAGTGCAGTTGGGTGAAAGCAGATGACACGAATTCTCCATGCTCAGTAAGTCATCCCTTTTACCCACAGAAAGGGACATGTACCATCCACTTACTTTTATTTCGGTGCAAGTGGGTTGGTCGAACTTTTCCGGGAATCTCCGAGTTTTCGGCCCAAACCAAACGCGATCATTATCATCTAGGTGCCCCAGTAGTGCCCTTTCTCTCCCCTTTTTTGGTTGGGAGGGTTCCCCTAAAATAGACAACAGACAAAAGTTGGTACCCTTATTCTAAAACTCTCAAATCTGGAGGACCTAGCCAAAATATCCCGTTCAGGGAGGAATTTCCGGGTTTTCGGCCCCAAAAAACCCCACGCGATTCTCATGCAAAGGGCAGTGCCTTCCTCCCGCTTTTCACCGGGATGCGGTGGGCGTCCAGGCGCTGCCGCGGGAGGGCGAGGTGTCGCTGCGCCAAGTGGCGGAGGCGGCCGCGGAGCGCTGGCGAGAGCTCGGCGCGGAGGAGCGCGGGCTTTGCACGGGCACTGGCGCAAAGGGAAACCGGGAAAAGGGGTTCCGCCCCAGAACCATGTGGGTGCATTTCCCCCTTTCGGGTGGTGTCAAATCCTTGTTCTTGGGCAAATGTCAAGTGAGTCTTTAGAGGCGGTGCAATTTGCCAAGGGATGTTAGGACTTTATCTGTTGCGAACCTTTTGGGGTTGCCATGCAAAATGGGCAACCCATGTTGCTTGACTGCTATTGGGTTGGATCTTTAGACTTTAGCTTTTTGGGAAATCAAGGGTTTTCCATTGGACCCTCAAGGAGCTTCAGTGAATTGACTTTGCGAGACCCTGGTGACACTGAGGCCAGTTGACATATTCAAGTAAACTTTGGTGCATTTTGCCAAAGGATGTTGGGACTTTAACTTGTTGCCAATTCATGGTTTCCATTTAACCAAGGTTAAACTTTTAGCAGGGGGGCAGAAAAGCGCTGAAAACTGATAAAACTGAATATCTTGAAAAAATCGCGTTGGAAGCTGCTGAAGCAGAAAAGACAGGTGGCATGAGCCAGCTCTGGCGTCAGCTTCGGCCTTTGTTGCCCAAAAGCCGCGCCAAAGCGACTAACTGCACACTGCCGCTTCAGTGCATAATTGAACAAGCAGTGCCGTTCTTTGCTAGCCAGGAAGGCGGGCAGCCAGCCAGCCTTGAGAACCAAAAACGCAAACCATCAAACTCGAGGATTTGCCAACATTGGTCGAATTCGAAGCCCATGCGTGCAAAGCTCAGCCTCGTAAAAGCTACGCAGATGACCAGCTTGTCAGTGAACTTTTTCGTCTTGACCCAGCCGGCACCAGCCGCTTGGTGCACCCGCTTGCCCTTAAAGCATGTGTGTTTGGCACGGCGCCAGTGTCGGCGCAAGGCGGAGCATTGTTCACTTTGCACAAAGGGAAAGGACCGCGGCAGGAAATCTCCTCGTACCGATCCGTTCTGCTCGCGTCCCATGTCAGCAAGGCACTGCAGGCCTCACTAAGGCAACGCATTGAGCCCTACATAGCGAACCTGTTTGGGCCCCTCCAGCTTGGAGGGCGTAAGGCGCAGCACATGCAACACGCTTGTCACATTGTGCGGACTTTCTTCTCCAAAAACCGCGCTGCCGGTAGATGCGCTGTAGCGCTTTTTGTTGATGTAGAAGCAGCATTTTACAAGCTGATTCGGCCACTGGCCTGCGGTCGGTACCAGTCGCACGCAGAGCTAACAAGCCTCCTTGACCACCTCGGGTTTGACGCAAAACGGCAAAATGATGTGATCCAGGCCATTAACGAACAGGAAGGTGACATTTTGCCACTGCTGCCCAGCCTTCTGCAGGCCGAACTGCAATCGTGGCAGCAAAGCACGCATTTCACCTATGTCGCTTCCCAAGCCGCAGCAACCTCTTTCCTCGGGTCAAGGCCAGGCCTGCCGTTGGCCGATTTGCTCTTTAACATGGCCATGATCTCCACCTTGCAGTCCATGCAATTGCGCATGCAGGCGCAGGGTCTCCTTGTCACAGGCCATTCAGATGAGCCACAGGCCCTGCCACCGATTGCGTGGCTTGACGATCTTGTCCTCTGCGCAGAGGCCAACACTTCCGCTGACTTGATTGCAGCCACGCAGCAACTTGCTGACATTGCCGTGACCGAGTTCAGGCGCAAAGGCATGACGCTTAACATGCAACATGGGAAAACAGAAGCGTGTCTCGCCTTAAGAGGTGTGGGGGCTCCAAAGGCCAGGAGGGACCTGCACGCCTTATGCAAGTCAGGCATGCCAATTCCAAGTGAAGAAAAGGGTGACAACGGACTCACGTTGCACATCGCGCCTTCTTACAAGCACTTAGGGGGAATCATCCACCCAGACGGTGATATGACCTTTGAAGTGCGACGCAAGGTTGCAATCGCCAACTCAGCTCTCCGTGATCTCCAGCTAGGCCCGCTCAAAAATTGCCAGCTTTCGCTTGTTGCAAGAGTCACGCTTGTAGAAACTATTGTGCTGAGTAAACTGTTTTTTGGTAGTGGTGTCTGGGGTCCACTGCAAAAGGCTGCGCACAAGGCCCTTGCCGCTTTCTACCAACGTGCATGCCGCGTTGCAGCCAAGCGCCTCCACACCGGCATTGACGCAGACGTGACACTAACGCAAGTGCTCAGTGAAGTGCAAATGCCTAGCCTGCAAACCCGGCTACGCAGGCAACGTCTCCTGCACGTCTTGCACATGCATCAGTCGGCCCCGCCGCAGCTACTAGCTCTGCTTGATGCCGAACACGAGCAAAAGCCAAACTCTTGGCTAGCCCTCGTTGTTGAGGATGTGGGGTGGATGCAAGCCAGATGTAAGAACAGCATGCCTGCCCTTCCTACAGCAAGCCTCACAGCGCAGCAGCTGCTTCTCTTCCTAGGTCAGCACCCTCAGCGTTGGAAGCATTGGATTTCCAAAGCCCTGCAAGCAGACATCCTGCAGACTGCAATGCTTTGTGATTACGCCTCGTGGCGCAAACGCTTCCAGCAACTCCTGCGCACTGGGGGCGTTCATGCCGACGCAGTATCAGGCGGGCCCCAGTGCCCCAGCCAGTCTTGGAAGTGCAGCGAATGCGTAGCCGCGTTTGACGAGCGCCGGCAGCTGGCTGTGCACCAAGCCCGCAAGCATGGTGCCAGGGCAGCCAATCTTGCCTTTTGTGCCACCACGCAGTGCCCTGTTTGTGTCACCGAGTTTTACCACACCAAGCGCTTGCAAGCCCACTACACGTCCGGCGTATCTCGCAAGCGAGACTGTTTGACGTGGGCTCAGGCCAACCTGATACCTGAGCCGCTTGACGCGATCACACGCATCGCGGAGCCAAGCTGGCTTAAGGGACACAAGCGCGTTCCGGGCACGAAGCTGCAAGGTCCCCAGCTGCCGACGCTGGAGGAAAGAGTTGAAAGCGATTGCCTGGGGCGGTACGCCGTGCTCCTCACATCTCCAGGACCGCCAGCGTCACCGGCCCCCCTGCAGCCGCCAGTTGCCTTGCCGCCGGCGCACGGCTCAAATGAGCATTGTGATGTGCCAGTTGCTTGCGCCGACCAGCTTGCTGCTTGGTTGTCTGCTCTCGAGCAGTGGTACCTTGATAGCGATTGCTCCGCGCAGGCTTTTTGGTCAGCACTCGGAATGCCTTCACAAGGCGTAGCCAGTCTTCCGCCCAAACTGCAGTGCACCCTGGTGGAGCTCTTTCGTGCGCAAGAAAACTTCTTTGATTACTGGGAAGACTTTGATGCCATAACTGTTGCTTCTAAGGAACTCCAGGATGCAGTTTCTGCTTTACCAGCCCATGTGCAACGCCCGCCGCAGCCAAGGCCGGAGGTCGCCTTGCCAGCCCTCGCGAGTGGCGCAGCAGCCCGGCACAGCGGCAGTAGCAGTAGCCAAGCGTCTTGGATAGTTTTCGCGCAGCGTGCAGCACAAATGCAGAGTGAAGATGAGCGCGCAAGCGTTTCCTTCCAACCAGCCACCGAACCAGCAGCCTGGCCTCGTCTAGGCCACTTGTTGCTCCGGCCAACCTTCTATGTGCTTCACCTTTTTGCAGGTAGGGCTTGCGAAGGTGACCTAGCCGCCCAAATTGCGGTTGCCACGCACCTTGAAGCTTTTGACGTATGTGTCATTGACATTGACATCGTCCGGTCAGAGGAGCAATGTGACCTGCGCCAGCCGCGCATCATTGAGGACCTAATCAGCAAAGCCCTTGCCGGGCGTTTTCTGGCTGTCAAGACAGGACCGCCCGTCAAAACTTGGCTGTCCGACCGTCAGCAAGTTGCCCAGCCCGGTTTGTGTAGGCCCTTGCGAACAGCGGACCAGCTGTTTGGCCGTCGTAACTTGCGTGAGCACGAGGAAGCGCAGCTTTGTGTAGCTAACAAACTCTTCTTCCACTCCACGCTTGTGTCTCTTGCTGTTGTCCTTTCAGGAGGTGCAATGATACACGCGCACCCTGCGCAGCCTAGCAATCCACGACATGCCAGCTCATGGCACGTGCCGCAGATTCGCTGGTGGCAGAAGCTCCCGTGCACCTTTTTCCGCATTGTGTGGCAGCAAGAGTTTGGGCAGGCGGCCCGGGAAGCTACTGGCTTGCTGTGCGCAAACTTGGCCAGCCTTGACGCACGTCTTACGGCCAATAAGCTTCCCAGATGTCAGTGGCCAATTTCACAACAGGCCACTGGCACGGATTTCCCGAAGAATATCACCAAAGCTTTTGCCGAGGCCTTTGTGGACCGTGCCAGGGACTTGCACTTGCACAAGGCATGGCAGGAACCGGATGCAGGATTCCTTCGCTGGGCAACGCCCCGGCTGAGACAGGCGCACGGATCGTCCGCAGCTGCGAGAGAGAGAGAGAGGGGGGCAGAAAGCAACCGAGAAAATTATGGGGTCCCACATTTTGAAAGCCGGAAAGGGGTGGCATGGACACTCGGAGTCCATTTGCCAAGAACACGAAGCAACCAACACACTAAACTGTCTACCTATGTATGTATATCGATACTGCAAATTATAGATCTGTGTATATATACATGTACATACACATATACATATATATATATATATATATGTGTATGCGTATGTATGTATGTGTGTTTGTAGGTATGTGTTTAAAGCCATTTGTTTGCCACCACCTGGAGGAGAAGGAGCGCTATCGGCTCCAGGCGGAGACAGCCGTGCGCCGTGGGGCAACGTATCGGCCCAAGGCGAGTCAGCGGGTCAGTGACGGGATGTCCGCGGGCTCGCGGTTCCGCGGGTTTTCCTCTTGGTTCCCTTTAAAACCCCAACAGCCAAGGGGCATCCTCAAAATCATCACGGACCCAAATGGGGCTTTGCCAATGGCTTGGGGTCTGGAGTTCCATGGTTGAAAGATACAAGTTTCCAGCTCTATTCAGGGTTGTTGTTGGGAAACATTTTACATTTTTGCTTATGTGGGAAACCCCCACTGAACTGCTAACAAAATGTTTGCTCCCCTTCCAACGTCAACCAAGCAAGTGAAGAGATGGCACTTGTAAGTGCAAAGGAGCAGACCAGAATCAGAGTGTTGTTCTTGGAACTGATGGAACACTTCAGGAAAGCGGTGAGGAAATGTGTCGCGAACCGGAGTCGGCCTGAGTCGAGACCTCTTCAAGGAAACCGCCCGGGGGCTCATCACACAATGTGCCATGCGGGTACATCTCCAGGGTTGGGGATCAAGGGCCTTCAAGGGTTGGCCCGGGGGGGGGGGATCCTCGCAAACGGTTGGTTGTGCATGTGGTCTATGGCAATCTTGCACTCGGTGATGATTGCCATGCCGTGCTGTACCCCCCCCCCCCCCCACAAAAAAAAGGAAGAAGAAAAACAGGCTGGCCAGGCCATATCCTCCTTCCTTCCGCCTCTTGTCTGTGAGACGTAGGTCTACATGTTTCAAGGCACCTAAGCCAAAGCAATCCGTCACTTGCACCCTGACCACCCACCCCCATGGCAGCTGGGTTGTGCTGGGGGCTCTCACCGTGTGGCGGCAAGCTCGCATGTTGTGAAGTTTACCCGGTATGACCCGGCTGGGTGGAGGGAAACGTCAAAAAAGTGCCACCCATCCAGAACTGTTACATTCCAAAAGTGTCGAACAAACCAGCGTTCTCTTGTCCACACCCTTCCCGAATAGATCTGTATGGCGGGGGCTCCACATTGGGAGGCGGGGGGGGGGGTGATATATGTCCCAGAGTTTGGTGGTGAAAGGAACGTGATTCGGATAGCCAGCCTCATTAGTCAGTGGGGATTGTCACAGCACGAGAGGATCCCCCCAGCAAAATGCCAAACCTCGAAAGAACTAGGCGCTCGCCCGTGAGATGGTGGGATCCGCTCTTGGGATGGCCATTCCACCGATAGCCCTTTCTGTTTGATAAGTCTTCACCATCGGAGTTAACGCCTGATCATGACAGGAGTTACCTCACAGGAGTTTCTTCGCCTCACCCCCCGCCCCCCCCAAAAAAAAAGAAAGGATAGAAAAGGAGTCCATTCAACGCAAAAGTGGGGCTCCATGTTTTCCAAAAAAAAAACAGGAGTCGGTTCAACGCGAGAAGGACTCGCCCCGTCTGTTGGCAGGCCATGGCGGGAGGCGCCTTCGCTTCGGCGGTGTACGGGCTGGAGACCAAGCTCAAGGCCAAGACCCGGGACGAGCCAGAGGAGGCCCAGGAGCAGAGATCAAAAGCGGGGGGATCGGGGGGGATTTTCCGAAGGCTAACGGTACTTTGGGCGTTCGATCTTCCCATTTGAGCCGGCGGTTTTGACATGTTTTGACCGACTTCGTGAAAGGGATGCTTGCGACGGCTTTTCACTCTGATCATGGTTGTCGTTGGGAAACATTTTTTTACATTTTTGCTTATTGTGGTTTAGTGGTTGAAATCCATCCACTTAGCTACTAACATCTAAACTTTTGCTCCCCTTCCAACGTCAACCAGGTTTGGACCTTCGATATTCCCATTTGAGTCACAGTCAAAACCCGGGCAAGTGAAGGTTAGTAAGGGAAAATCCCCTTGCCACAAATAGCTGCGGATATCCGCCTTCTTCGTTCTTGACGTGGTTCTGGGTAGGCTATTTTAATACCGGGTTTTGATTATGACTCATTTGGCCTTTTAAAAGTTTGACTCAGCTTTCGAGAGGTCTGTTTCTCAGCATAGATGTTCAGACTGGCTGAAACCTATAGGTGCACTTCCGCTCATGGTCTAAAACGGAATGGACAAAAGGGAGTAAGTTGCCACAAAAACATGGGTCAGGGGCGAGAACTCTTTTGGATGGTTTAGAGGTGGGTTAGAATGCGTCTAACCCAAAATGTTGGGCAAGGTAACTCCACTGCCGCCTTTTTTAAAGTGCTCCAGCTGAGTCTTGATGGGCTGAAAGTCACAGCAGAGAGCTGATGACTTGCCCGGTTTTTCTGCACAATTGTTCGGGCTGCCGAAAAGGACATATAACAGTTTGTGTCGTCTTTTTGGTGGTTGTGCTTGTTTTTGTCTTGGCCCAAAAGCCGATTAACATGTTTCAGTCCTGGTCTGGGCGGTCTGGGCAAGTGGAACGGCCGCAGCCTTGAGATGCAACCATCATATTTAGGAAGGCTCCCGGGCGCGCGAGGTCGATGAACCCGGTGTCTACAGTACAATGATGGTCAAGGATTAATAAACACCTGGTTGTTTCAAAAGGCGTTTCTCGCTTAAGTGGCACCCTTCACGTTTTGAGGGGCTTCACCGTCAGATGTACCACCAAATGTTTTCAACATTACCTGAATATGTCAATTGGCCTCATCCGGCTGCCCTCGTGAAAATGCCTCGCGACCATTCAATTAACAAACTACAAATTTCATGAATCAACTAGATTCCGATTGGGTGTTGTTGCCCTTGATGAACGGAAAAACTGACATCCACTCTGTTCTCAGAACCCATTGCAGAACTCGTTCAATCAGAAGGTCCCTATGTTCTTGGGGGTGAATCTGGGCCTTGGGGTCTCAAGTAGTTTTTTGTTCCCCCCCGTTGTTTCATTCATGTGTGCCCTGTTCTTTTCTTCCCTTGTATTTTCTTCAGCCATTTTCCCCTGATTGCTTCTTTTGTTCCCGTGCGTTGTTCCTCCATGGTGTTCCCGGTGATTTGTTGTTGTGCTCATGTTTCTTGCCTTTTTCTGTCCTTCATATTCTTCACGCAGTTTTCTTTTTCCCAGTTTTCCCTATCCGTTTCTTCCTCTGTAGTTTTCCTGCTCAAGTGTTTTCCACTTGTCTCATGTATTTTCCATTGCCGCCGGGCCATATGTGTCCTTTCGGATTTTCACTTGCCTTTCCTTCATAAGTTTGCCCTTGCGTTTCGACAACGACCCTGGATTTTGTAGATGGTAAATGGGGAACCACCGTACCCTCCAAACCCATGTTGCACACCAACCTCTAAGGGCTCCCTAAGCCAAGAATAAAACATTGGGCTCCAAATCAACTCGAGTTTTTCTCTTGCTGTTTTGCGTTCAAATAATTATTGGTTCTCTTCATTTTTCGTTTCGGGTGCTTGCTCCCTTGCCAATGGGTGGTACCCTGAATTGGCGGAATTAGAGGGAAGCTGACGGGCTTTCAATTCCAGTGGAAAAACATAATTACGCCAGGGGGTTTGATTCCTCTGGAGGCTCGCCCTAGTGTAGCCTCATGTCCAAATAACACCTGGTTGTTCTTGTTTACTTGGGACTATCTGGCGTAGTTTCCCTAGAGCGCAATCGCAGGGTGGAATATCCTGAGACAATTGATTTTCCCAGGAACCCAAACCACCAATCCAAAAGCAACCTTTGCTACCATACCAATGGGTTGTAAAGCCTATCGAGTGATTTCCCCGGGTGTTTTGGATTGGCGAGTTGGATTTGGACTTGAACCCTGGTTCTTGCAGAGGGTAAACCGTTCCACGGCAACGAGTTCTGGAGGTTCAGGGCTACCGATTCTCTGGTCTTCGAGAAGAAGCAGGTTCTGGTTTCCTTAGACAATTGGATCTCCCCAGAGGAAAAAACACACATACCATTTGTTAGGGTTTTTCGTGGAGGGCGAGGATCCCAGGGTGGAAAAACCTGAGACAATGATTTCCCCCATGCCAATGGGTTGCATCCTGGTTTCGGACAAGGGGCTCTCAGGAACCCCACCCCCAAAAAAGAAAGAACTCATACCCATGGGTCGCAAAAAACGCCTAAGGATCGGTATTTTTTGGGACTTGTCAGGACTTGGACAAGAAGGAGCGGAAGAAGGCGGAGAAGAAGCGCTCGCCCGAGGCCACCGCCTCCTTGGCCCAGCTCCGCGAAGAGCGCTGGGCCTCCCAGGGCCCCGACTCCACGGTGCCGGTCTTCTTGTGGGAACTCGAGGAGCACAAGGCGAAAAACCCCACGGCTCGGTTGGCGCCGTGGTCTCTTCTTTTGTTTACTGGTGGTTGTTCAATGTTGTTTTTTTGTTGTTGTTCACTTTGTGTGTTTTTTTGGTTGTTGGCTTGTGGTTGCTCACTGGTTGTTGTTCACTGTGTGTGTGTTGCTTGCCTGCTCGTTTGTTCGTTTGTTTGTTTCTTCTGTTATATGTTTGTTTTTGGTTGTAACCGTTGCTGTTCCAATACCAAAAAGGATCCCATTTGAAGAGCGGGGGTCTAGGCGGTCTGCGGCCCAAACATGTTTTGTTTTTGTTGAGTGATGGTTGGGTTCCGCTTCTGAAAGCAACTGCCCACACGTGCACATCTGCGGTTTACTTGATTCTGTACAGGGATGGGTGGCATTCCTTCCTTCCAGCTTTCTTTGGGTTTGTAGGCAGTTTGTTTAAAAAACAACAAACCGGAAAAGCGGTGCCCCTGTTAAGCCGCCTGGGACAGGTGGACAAAGCTTTGCGCCTTGGCAGAGGATGGGTTATATACACCCGCCAGAAGAAGCAACACATGTGAAAGCGGGATTTCCATTTTTTTTGGGGAAGCACCCTTGCGGCGCTTGCGGAATGCCAGACTGAACGCCCATGCTTGAGCTCCATGTTCCGTGGAACAACCTCTTGTCAAAAGTGGTCGCATGGAAATCAGAGCTGTGGTTTCTTTGGTCACCAGGGGGCATTCGAACGTCGTGGCCACCAATAATTAAGTGAAGGAGTGGAAAGCCAGTCGACCTTGCTCCGCCTCCTTTTTAAGCATGATCTAAGAATGGTCATGTGACCAATGGTTCTGGTACCCATTGTATGTTTTTGTTGGTCCATTTTTGCTAGTTGCAGATGGCACGTTCTAGTGTTCGAACCTAGGCTTGTTAGAGCAAATGTCCCAGGCGCACGGCTGATTTTTTCTTCGGCCACCTTAGGAGCCCACACCGAGGTCTGGGGATCTGCACTTGCCGAGCCCCGAGACGGACAAGGTGGGACACCTGGACCCGGACATCACCAGGCGCAACTCGAAACTCGAAACGCGTGCATGGGTGGTTCGGATGTACTTTAGACATCGTTGTTTTTGCGCGTTGGTGTTTCGGATATACTTTAGAAATCCTGGTGTTTGTGATTCTTGCCTTTTGTGTGTGTGTGTGTGTGTTTGGTCCGTGCGTGGTTGTGAAGGGATCCTGACAGCAGCAGACCAAACTCGGCACGCGGGATTTGGTCAGAGATCAGGCTGCATTTTATGTTGCACTGGCTCGGTTTCTTTCTTCACACTCTTGCATGACCAGGATTTGCCAGGGCTTCCTGTGGGAAATTGAGCCGCATGGTTTCTCGAAAGGCCCCGATGGATCACCCTGATGGATCCTTGCTTCTTAATCAGCACCGGCAAAGCCACTTAACTACTTGGGAAAGACTGACTAGTGCTACTCTTAACTCCCTTTTTACCCAGAAACAACATCGGTTTGTTGGTGAAAAGGAACCCACATTTTCTAGGAAGCGCCTTGGTCTTGAGAAGCGCCGGCATGAATTGTGCCGTTCCCATGGCCAACACGCCGTGTGCAACTTGAGTTTTAGAGAGGTGGTCGAGAACCTTCTGGGGGACAGTTACAACGCCTTTACAAACAGATCTCAGCAAGGCTGTCGAGGCCATGCGGAAAACCCTCCGCAACGTGCAGCATTTTGCCCGGGTTTCTTGATGGCTTTCGGGGTCAAAACCCCAAGCCTGCAGTTGGATCAGCTCACGAGAGAGAGAGAGCGCGAGAGAACCATAGCGGAGAGAACCATGGCCCATGTCTTCAGGTTTACCCGCATGAAGACCATGAAGGGCCTGGAAGTGCTTCTGCTGAGCTTTAACGAGGCGACGCAGGCTTGCAAAGTTGCTTGGCTTCCCGCAAGTTGTCCCAGCCGTTTTTCTGAAGGTGACCTCCACAGTTCCTTACCTCCGTTTGCTTATTTGAAGCCTATCCCCCGGTTTTAATGTCATCAGTTGACCATCTTTGTACCGGCCCCACCTCTGGGGGGCCGGCGCATGTGCCAAGGTTGTGTACCCCAGCCGGGACGAGAACCGAGTGGGCAGCTTGTCACAGAGCAAAGCGCTGGCTGCGCTAAGCGAACGCTGTGCCGTTCGTTTGGCCGCATCTGAAAACCAGCGGGAAAACCACCGGGTTTGGTGGCCTTAGGATCATACTAGTTGCACGCAGGTCGCACACACACACACACACTGATCTCCCACTCCACCCGACGATTGACAATTGAGATAAATCAACTGGGACCTGCACAGGGCTCCCTATGCTCCCCCCTTTGGGCGGTTTTAAACAGCTCTTTCCTAGCTTCCTTTGGGGTGATGATTCCACTTTGGCCTGACATGGCTGAACTTGGTTTGCATCCTGAGGTTGGGTCAGCCTCCTGGAGCTGCGGCCACTCAGCCGAATGGATGGCGCAGCCCCCGATTTTTGCTGCACCTCTGAACTCCTGGTATGTCAGTAGGTTCTCAAGTCATAGCCGCGACGCGGACTATACCCCGGTTGTACCAACGGAGGTCGACTTCAGCGGTCTTAAGCAGTTTTCTCCAAGGTTGAACATCCGAAAAGCAGCCGCAACCGTCCAGAGTTTTGCCTTCAATCCAGGGACTCTCGAAGGCCTCAAGGTGTCCATTAAACTTGCGTGTCTTGGGGACAGCACAAGAGGGACAGGTCTTAGCGGAAATGCATTATTTGCACCAATAGCCAGTGAATAGCCAGTGAAGAGCAAGGTCAATGACGGAGCTCCTGAAATTCGAGAACCTTCATACAGGTTGGTGGATGTTTTCTCACGTGTGGTGGTTGCAATTCTGGAATAACGTTGTCATGCGTCAAGTGGGTGCCATGGTGAACAATTTGTTACGTGCAGGCTGGGGGGGGGGGGGGGGGACGCAGTGCGTTGCAATTGCGCCGGCGTGATTGCCGCAGTGCAGGTTGCGTTTGCAGTGGCGCGTTTGCAGCGCAGCACTGCGCTGCAGATGCGATTTTGCGCGCATCTGCGTTTTGCGTTGCAGCAAATTCCAACACCGCGCGAGTGCGCGTTGCAATCTTGCGCGCTGCAATGTGCTCATTGCAATTGCGTTGAAGTGATTGCCGCAGGAGTTGTCAGCAATAATTACGGCTAACAAAAAAAAAAAAAACACGCGGTGCCTCTTTGCGCCGCTTGTTGCAGCGGGATGCCGGGCGACGAAGCCTCAGATGTGAATCTGCGTTGGCTGCATGAAGCTCACGCGCGAAGGTTCTTGGCCCCGGTGGAAGACTTCGAGCCCTTGGCGGTGGAGCTGGAGGACGAGGACTTCTTCCCCCCAGAGGCGTCGGAAAAACGCGGGCCTCCATGCAGGATTCCCGGAACGCTTTGAAGAGTAACACTGTTTAGGGGCCCCAACCAGTTTGAAGGATATGTCTTTTTCTGGGATGAGTTGACATTTCCGCAAAGACTAGGTCCCCCAGTAGTGCCCTTTCTCACCCCTTTTTGGGTTGGGAGGGTTCCCCGAGCAAAAATAGACCACGGAAAAAAAGAAGAAGAAACAAACGGGTACCCTTGTTCTAACCTCTCTAGTGGAGGACCAAGAGGAGATGTTCGCAGATCCATTTTGAAGTAGAGAGGTGCTCCAGCTGAGGTGGGGGACCTGCACCGCGTGCACCGCGCGGGTGGAAAGGACCAGTACGCGGTCAAGGAGGTATGGGAAGACGAGGATACAGGCCGGTGGCTTCTTATTCCATTTTCGGGTTTCTGAAAATGCTTGTGAGACACCCCGAAGACGTCCCTGGCTCTTTGCCTCTGTGCCTCATAGTGATTCTGCCAGATCGCTGTGTAACGGCAACTCAACAGGGCCGAAATGGAAATGGGGGAGGGTGACGCCTGGAATTCCATGTAATTATGGTCCCATTCATTGTTTTTGTTTTTTGTTTGGAGGAGACTTCTGGACTTTAGGCTTTGGGGTTTGGACCATTGTAGCTGGAAGGGAGCCGTTACGAAGCCGGGTTCAGATTTGCTTGAGGAGGGAGCTAAGGAGCTACCAGTTCTGTAAGGACCTGGTAGGTGGTATGTAAAGCAACACACATGGACTGTTTTTGGCCAATCCACTCAGGTAGTAAAAGAAGTGCAGATCCGCGAGTCTCTCTCTGTTTTTTTTTTTCCCAGGAAACGGCCCTTCGATTCAAGAAATACTTCATCCGGGTACTCTCCTGGTACATTCGTGGGGAGGGTAAGTTGTTGGCCACCGGACAAAACTCATGAGGCTCAGCGGACGTGTATAGGAGACAAAGAGCCAGAAGAAAACGGCACATTCTCTCCCTGAGTTTTGCCTGGCTTCACTCACATGGTTCTTGCCGAAAGAGCTTTCCGGAAAGTTCGGCGTGGGGCTCCCCAAGCCCAACGGTTGCACTGTGGCTGTGAAGCACTTGTAAAGTCATCTATCTGCCTATAGCGAGCTCACCGATTCGGGGCTAAAACGAGCTCACCATGGTAAATGGTCCTGCACTTGGGGATCCCTGAATTCGACTCATAGTAAATCTTGCAGATCAACTCTTGTCAGGCTTCTATCATTGGACCTACGGGGATAAGCTGATCGACTCCCAAGCCCATGCCACTTGCTGCAGCGCTCACGGCAAGTTCCTGATACCCTTCCGAAGACTTCCAAAGGTCGACATAGAGCAAATGAAGCGCGACGAGGCGCGGGGAAGCCTTGCAGCGCAGTGGATGAGGTGCGCCAGCCGAAAAAAATGCTGGGTGAGCCTTGAAATTTAAAAACCCGGCAAGTGGCGGTGCTCTTTTCGTCTCAAAAAACGTCTCCCTGAACGAAGCCACCAAGGTACGTTGAACAAATTGACATGGCCATGCCAAAAACCCAAGCAAGACAGTCACTGCGGCCATTTCAAAGGCTGGATGTATTCTATGGACCCACAAAGAACTTTTCGCCGCGCCTGTTCTATGCCAGCCCACGCTTCTCGATGTGAGGTTGCGAAGCGGGAGACCCGGAAAAGCCGCAAGACGCCGGAGAGTTGGAGTGACCTGCCGCTTCTTTGGCGGATGATGCAAGCGGGAAAGGCTCACCTGGAGGCAGGGTTGAATGACTTGCCCACCAGCCTCTGGGGCATGTCCTGTTTTCTGTCTTTTGTTTTCGTTGGTTTTCCCCGTTTCTCGCTAAAATTGGAAGAGTTGGGTTTGTCTGGATGGGTCATGGCCACAGGATAGGCTTGTTGGGTCCTTCGCCAGGTGGCGAATCCTGGTGCTGCCATCTCGGAGCTTGCCGCCCTCACCGGCCCCTCGGCCCGCAGCCCGCGAAACCGCAATGCGAAGCGAAGCAGTCAGCTTGGAGTCTCAAGTCACGGGTTCCCAAATTTGGGTTCCCGATCTGGTGGATGTCCTATCTGGTTTTTAGAGCTGTGTTTTTTTGCCGTCTCGTCCTATCTGGACAGCTTAGATTGTGATGCAGTCGACCTGTTCAGTTGCTGGTGAGTCCGGTTGACTGCCGGACCGCTAAGGACCCTAGGAAGCAAACAATTTTGGTTGCCTTTCCTTGGCCTTTGGGCAAGGGGTGAAACAAATGCTCTCAAGAAGCGACGTTCTAGGCCAAAGAAATCCAAGGAGATTGGTCCAGAACACAAGAAGCTGAGGGGCCTTGAGGAAATGGTCCAGGCACCTTGCTTCAGGCTTCATTCGCAGCAAGCCGCCTTATCTGAAATTTGCGCCCAAGGTTGTGGGAAAAATGGTGTTCAGCTGGGAACCCTCGTTGTCATTGTGACAAACCCGGCATGGGGGTTTCACGAAAGGATGCCATGATCACAAGGGAGCCCCCTCTGAAGTGATACAGTAGGCATGGGCATGGACCACTTAGGATCAGAAGAAGAGACCAAGGGGCCATGTCCCCCAGAAATGATCCAATCCGAAGGGATGGAATTCTCCAAGAAGAGGGAACCATTTTCTGTGAGAAGCGCGTAGTTTCTTCCGAACACTTTTCCCATGAAAGCCCCCCTTTTGGAGAGTCCCAGGTTCTGCGAGACCCTTGCAAAAGAGTTCAGGTGAGGTGATCACCTGGAAAGCGGCGGTGAGGTTCCGGTCCTTCCGGCCCAGGAAAGAAGCGCGGGGGCAAGCGCAACGCCGTGGCGGCCCTGCCGAACGCCGCCGCTCAAACTGAAGGGGGCAACCGTGCGGAGCGCGCGTGAGCCACAATCAAAACGCGGGTAGATGAAGGTTAGTAAGGGACAATCCCAACCATAAATAGCTGCGGCCGCCTTCTTAATTCCTTTAGTACCGGGTCTTGAGTCTGACTCGTTTGAAGACAGCGCAAAAGGCCTTAGTGAAATCCAACTGCCACAGGCCACACGCACACACGCTTTTTGGAGGAGGGGGCAAAGGCTTGGTGTTGTCAGGATGCAACACTCGGCCGCCATAAAGGACTCACTCTAAAGCTGGCAGCCATTTAGGACTAATTCAACACGCTTGACGGCACCCGAAAAGTCACTTTGCGCCAGTACCCGGCACCAACCCCGGCCTCCAAATCAGGAATCGATGATGAATGAGGATCTTGATAGCTTTGAGCTGGACAATAGTAACAGCCTTGCTTTTTTTGAGCGGGGAACTTTTCTTCCTGAATGCCGAAATGCAGCAGGTTTCTCGCTGGGTCCCTTTCAAACAACAAGTGACAGGGTGCCACGCCAATCATAAGGATCTTGGGGAGTGCATCAGCGCCCTTGGCAAACCACTCCGAATTGCTTCTTAAAAGGGTGCTTTGAATGCACAATTGCAAACATTGCAGCGTTTCCCATTGCGCTTCTCCCCAAGAAGCTCTGAGCGGGCTGGTTGTGGGAATTGCCCACCTCTATCATACCGCAACAAAACTTGGGAACTATGAAATTAATTGAGCTTTATATCCCTAAGCATACGGCTCTGAACATCTCTGAACTTTAAACGGTTTTCCGCATTGATTTGGGTGTGGGTTTCTCAGAAAAACCCACAACTGTTTTTTGTTTGGGGTACCAACTCCAAGAAAGCGAGTCGCCCATTTGGACTGCGGATCTTTTTCTGGGTCATTCTGGGTCCCGCGTCGAGGTCCGGAAGAGGCGGCAGCAAGTCGAAGTGAAATGCACGGCGGAAGCCTTTCTTTGCCAGCCTGGATCGCGATTTGGGCTGCTGAGCCAGACGCAAAGGCTGCAAGAGGTGTTGCTGTCGTAGGGTTGCCCTGGCTTTGCTTCGTGTTTGTTCGGTTCGGAGTTGCTAGGGTGTTTGTTTGTGTTGTGGTTGGGTCAGCCTTACAGCCTGAAGCTTCTGAGCGGAACAAGCAAGCGAGCGACATGCGAGCTGAGGAACGCCCTGGGCCTGTCTTGCATCATGAGGCGCCTTCTGGGCCGGTCCTGCGGCGAAGGGACCTGCTGCCAGCCCTGAAAGACATTGAAGAATTGGTTCCATGTTGACTAACATGGTGGCTCGTCTTTCTGATGGCCTTCTTGATGCTCTGGTTTCAGAAGCAAACGACCTTCAGCACATGTGGGTGGTCCAAGGCCTGACGAAGTGGCAACGCAGGCGTTCTTGGGGTTTTTTGCCGACCAAAAAGGCCTTCCTTCCCTTTCCATTTTTTTATTAAAAAAAGGAAGAAAACAACCTCACACCTCCCCCACCTCCCTCACCTCCCCCACCTCCCCCACCTCCCCCCCCACCCCCTCCCCCCCCCCCAAAATATGTCTCCGTTTCCGCGGGCCCCGCAGAAGCGGAGCGGACTCGGCGGACTTGCGAGGTGCGTCACCGCCGTGGAGCTGCTCACAGATGGCTCTGGCAAGGTTAAGGCGAGCCCAGAGCAATGCAGTGAAAGGGTCGCTTAAGTTACCTCCCCCCCACACTCAGAGACTCAGCTTCCCTCTAATTTGTGGTTTGGATTGCTAGTTTAGGAAGCTAGGAGGCCCAGCGGCCTTTTGCTTGGTTCCATGTGTGTTCCTCGGATGCGTGTTCCTCGGTTTCCTTTTGTTTGCATTGATATGTGTTGTTTTTTTCCATTGGGTCTCCCTTGGCTTCCTTCACTGTTCTTGGCATGTTTTTTGGCTTTTTAGTTTTTTGGTTCTGTTCATTTTTACTGGGGGTCTGCAAAAAACAAAGTTTTTAGCCACCATACCAAGAGTAGGGATGCTTCCCTCAGCTTCCATACCGAATTGCACGGAGGTGAAGACAGACAACTGCGAGGAGGAGTCCACCATTGACCCTACCCCGAGTCAGGCGGGGAAGGGGGGTCTCACAAGCAGCGGACAGCGGACACGGCGCGTTCTAGGTTTCAATACGCCAAAACCAGTGCGAAGTTGGACGATGTCCCCTCCATGTTGCGCATGATATCATGGCTGTTGGAACTTTCTCAGCGGCCATGCAGCCTTGAATTCGACCATCCTGACCCTTGTGAAGTTATACGAAGGATGTTGGCAGGGGCGGTTCTCCACAAAGAGTGGCACATGCATACTTTAAATCAATCGAAATCATGTACATGGCGCTTTCCCAAGTTGCCGGGGGATTCCGTGCCGAGGCCATGAAATTCCCACAGTTGGAGTACGAAGGCGGGGAAAGGCGCTAACGTGAAACGTGAGACTGGGGGATGCATTTGCAGGTATGGGTTTTGGAGGCCGGGCCCACAAGAATATGGGCTCGTGGATGCACCAAAGGTCCGCACCTCCAGAACTGGATTTTTCAGGGTCACCAACCTGTCTTGTTGTTTGTGTTCCCCACTCGGAATGTCAGCCTCAAAAGGTCAGGTGGCCCCACTAGGAACAGCCAGGTGGCACCGAGCTCACCGTTCTCTTGGCAGATGGCCGACTGGTCAATGGGACAGTGACCCGGAACGAGCGATGGAACCGCTATGCGATCACCGCCCAAGGAGGGGCTATGGAAAGCTTGAGTGTTAAATCTGGGTTGTTTGTTTTTGTGTGTGTGTGTGTCATGATTTGTGCCTTTCCGTGTCTTTCTTTGAGTCCATCGTTGCCTGAAGTATTGTAGTTGCCGTGTGTCCATGCCTCAGTGTCTGTGTTCTTGTTTGGCGCGCACCTTGCATGCGCATGCCTTGAGCGCAGCCTTTGGGCATGTGCCAGCACTCATCAAATCTGGGAATGAAGCTTTGCCATGGAAGCCGCTTTGCTCGATGGGCCATGGGGCTATTGGAAGCTATCTCAACTGCTTTCCGCGCCAGCATGTCAGGAGAGGAGGAGCTTGTGGACTTAAATGAGGCCAACCATGTCAAAGGCCACATGGCGAACTTTGACGTGGAGTTGTACCGGGAGTACTGCACCGCCCAAAGGGATCGCTACCGCTTCCTTGAGGAGCCCTAGCCTTGCAGCAACCCCTGACAGCTGTGCTCCTTGTTGCGGTGCTCTGCCTTGTGGCCTGGGTGTTGGTCTCTTTTCTTTGAAAATAGCAGCAGCAGGCATTTGCTGAGGGCCTTGCTCGATCAAGGAAACACTTAATACTTACGTGCCTAGCAAACGATTGACTTCAACCCTTTTTGGCCACGCGTCGGAGATCATGTCTGTGGCACATTCTGGCACCCAAGAGGTTCTCACTGAGTGAGCTGGCTTGAGCCAGGACAGTATCACCTGCCAAAAGATGGATGTGGAGACACAGGTCATTTATATCGATACCGCCGTGCTTCTGCCACGCTTGGGCTAGAGGTTACCCCCTCCAAAGAAGACATGCAGCGATCGACAGGTGGAGAACGCCAAAGTTTCTACCCCTGACATCAAGAGCCTGGCAACGATGCTGCTGGACAGTGATGGCGAGCGTTACCTGGGGCAGCAGCTTGCGTACAGGCGCGGGGGCAGTTTCCTTTCCGCGGCACCTTTTTTTTCCTCTTGGTGGGTGGGTTCTCACGAAATGGTAAACCCCGTAAAGAGTTCCCTTTGCTACCAGAATCACTGGACAACTGTGCCTCCGTCCGGTAAGGCAGGGGGGGTTGTTGCGCCTCCCAGCTGCGGCAGCTAAGCGGCTTTGATGGTCAGGTGCCTCATGGTGGCAGGCCCGGGGACAGGCAAGACCTGGTCCTCCTGCCAGCTCATGTACCACTTGAGCAAGGCGCGGACTGCCCGGGTCGCTCTGAAGCACAAACCCATGACCAAACCGAGTGCTTTGTCCAGAGGGGCCATTTCAACGTAGCCCGGTGCCAGGGTCTCCGCAGCACCCCTGCCAAACGGGCTTAGGTAGAAGACTCCGGAAAGTTCCCCGGCCATGAATCGGTGCAGAAAGCTGAGCTTTTGATATCATTGACATGGGGTTTTGGGGGAGAGTAGGACCCTTTTTACGCCTTCCCTTTCTGGGTGCGAGAACAGTCCAAGCGGAAACAAAAGGGGATCGATACCCGGTGGATTTCTTCCCGGACCCCCTGCTGTGCTTGGCATCCAGCGTTAGTTATCTTTCTTTCAGCGTTTTCTAGCAGGCTTGCACCGCGAATGCGGACACCCGCGGCCTCGTGAAGATGCCAGTGCTGCTCTTTGTGCAGAAGATGGCAGGCACACAGCCGGCCACTCGCGCCCGGCGACCGGTCATGGGCCAGTTGGCTTGCGACCGGTTGGGCGATGTTGTTTGGTGCCAAAGCTGGAACCTTTCCGAAACACTCTGCATTTGGAGGTTCGGCGAGAAAGGGCAATCTCAAAATGATGTGTTCCTTCGGGCGCAAAAAGCTGAGGTTGGGATTTCGGGCAACAGCCTCATGGGATGTCGTCCTGTCCAGGCATGATGCGCACGGAGGGCGTCACTGACAAGGCGTACGCTGAAATGAGCTTGGCAGTTGCCTGGCCGCCATTACTCGATTGGATGTGCACAACCCTAACCCTGCATCCCTTACAATCATATTGCATAATTATTTGGAGAAGATGTGTTACACTATGTTTGCATGGATGTGCAGATGCACACACACACACATGTATTGATAATATATATATATACACACATAATATATATATATATATATATGCATCTGAATATGCCAAAGGCGCAAGTGGTTCTCTTGAAAGCCTGAGGCCAAGGATGACGTGCTCAACAAGCCGTGGCTGGAAGAAGCCTTCAAGACCGAGCACCTTGCCATCGGAGCTCACCTCCTTTGGACCCGGCTCACCGGTTGCCCATTGAAAAGAGAACCAAAGACCTGGCACCTGACAGAGGCTTGAGGAGATTGATCTTCCGAGGGGCCCCCTAGGCCACGTTAGACTGAGGGCGTCTAATGTTGACAGGCTTGAGAGAACAAGATGTTTTGCTGCGGGGCTGCAAGTACGGCACGCGAAAGCTGTACCGATTTGGCACGTCAGAGCTCTCTTTCTGCAACCAGCTCCTTTTGTGCAAAGTGAGAAGTTATCCACTTTTAGCCGCTGTACTATTCGCATGCTTTCGTGGATTCTCAGACTCAGATATACTTTTTTGGAAAGAATGGTTTCGGGATCAATCGTGTACACCCATGAGCGGAGTCAAAGGTACAACGCCAAGTACGGGGAGGCTTTGATGAGAGCCTTGCGCTTGCGTGCTGCCGTGGCAGCTTGGCTGCCCACTTCGAAGAAGCAGCTGTTCCCAACGGAGAAAGAGGTCCTTTGAGGCAAATCACGGTGGCAGATACCATCTTTGGCTCATTGCGAAGGGGATCCGCTGAAAAGTGGCCAATATCTTTGAAATTGGGCTGGTCTCAGGAAACCCGCTCAGTGACAAACTCGGCAGAGGATTGCTCTCTGAGGTCATCCTGGATGGCATTGATGAGGCTTCCGATGTGAAGGGCGTGATGCAGGACATGTTGTTTGCATGCGAATTCCCCGTGTGGCTTTGTGTTGTTTGCAAATAGGACTGTGTCTTGGGCAGTGGGGACCACTTGACATTCTTGAACCAGCCCACCCCGACCCCACCAAGTGGACAATTGCGCTGCACAAAATTGTTGCCTGCATGGACGCGTACAGATGATGGGACTTGGAGACCGGATCACCCCGCAACCCCCCCAACTTCCCGTTTCAAGTGAATTGCAATTGGTTTGGCGAAACTGCTTGAGGGAAACCTGACAGAAAGCTTGGCCCCCAAAATGCTTTGGTCTGTTTCTTTGCCCTGGTCTTAGCTGTGCTGCCCTTTGCAGTGTGCTGTTTGGACCCAAACAGGATCTTACGGCAACATGCCTGCCCTGAAAGCACATCCCCCGACAAGAATCGATCGTGGATTTCTCTTGGCCACGCATTGGAAGTTTGTCCTAGGATAAGCCTGTCATGTTGTATCAAGCAAGGAGTGCTGCCCGGCACCCCCCCCCCACACGTTCCATGATCTGTTCCCGCATTCCTTCGCCATATCTCCCATTGAAGCATCTCCGCGCTAAACAGGGGAAGTACTTAGTGTCTCCCATTAAGTTGGCAGCATTTGGCAACTAAAGGCAGGGTCTAAAACAAGCAAGCGCGTATCGTGAGTCCTCCACATGAGTGACCCTATCCAAGGCGTCTTCAGTTCGGTTTCCCTGAAGCTTCCAATTTTGAGACAGCTCCCCGTTTCCGAGTTGAAACCCCTCAGGCGGCGAAATGAGTGTCCAGCTTCCCACCTTCTCCCATAGGATAAGCCTGAGCCAGTACTTTTCAGAGGAATTCCCCTCAACTGGGGGGAGGGGTAACCAGGCGTCCTCTAGTGCATGCGTTCTCTAGGCTGGCCTGGCTTGGTGCACGGGAATCCTTTCCAAGAGCAACTTGCCACCCCGACTGCAGTGGACCCAACCGCGTTTCCTGACGTGCATCCACGGTTGCAACTGGGAAACTGGGGTTGGTTACACTTTCATTGCGTGTTGTAAACTGTTTACCAACTGGCTGCAAACCCACATCGCCGTGTCTCTTTGGAGGGTCCCCCCGTTTTGGTGGCGAAGTTGAAAACGCAATTTTTGTTGGGGTCCCCTCCTACAAAAGAGAGAGACATCCAAATGGCCCAAGCGCCACCGGGGGTTCAGGACTACATTCTGCGGCGGCTGGTGCCTATGCAGATCTGCTTGGTGGTCACCTCGCGCCCGGAGGGCGTTTCCGCAGCTTTGAAGTCGCTGAGGACGCGGCCACGCCGCGAAAGGGGTCTAAATGTCGTGTTTTGGGCAGGGTCCGAATCCGGCACCCTAGTCGTGCTTGGGTGCCTTTTCGCAATATTGCCAAGCTTTTTCCTGGCCTTTTTGCCTTACCCTTTGAAAGAACATGTGTTTTCCACTCCCCCCTTCAGTTCTATGTGTTAGTGGGGGGCGGGGCCTCTCTGTCTTGCGCTTTCTCCCTTGGAACTACCAAAAGCAAGAAGCCTTTGCGGTCCCAAAGTCGAAGCTGGGTAAAGAGCGCGTTTAGCTTTTCCAAAGAAAACAAACAAAGGGTAGATGATGTGAGACCCTGGTACTTGCAAGAAGCCAGCAGGAAATTGTGTGGGCACAGGCTTTAGGTTCACGGTTCACCTGCTTTCTGTATTCTGTCAGCCCCTAGAGTGCAAAGCACGCGTCCAGTGGCCTTTGAGGCCCTCCCCAACCAAGGGACCCCCTCCTTCCTTTGGTGGCTATGGATGTTGGACTAGATGTACATGAATGTGTGCTCACCTGGGTTGTGCGTGTATGTGTGTGTGGGTGTACTTGTTCGTTTTGTGCATGGCCACATGGCTGCTTGCCTGGCTAAACACACACATATATGGGAGTCGTTCTAAAGGTCCTTGTAAGGAGTTTAGTATTCGGTGACCATCGGTGTTGGTTGAGGTAGCTCCGCGAAAGATTCGCGATGGAGTTGCGAAAGTAACTTTTTTTCTCGCGAAAGTTTTGCGATGTCATGTACTACCCCTGTGATGCAAAGTTGCGACTTTACAGCTGGAGTTGGGAAATCGTCATTTCGCTTACAACGCTGGCACTTAAAAGCTGCGATTCTCCGACTCGAGAAATGAAAAGAGCACGGCGATGAATCCGCGAAAGATTCGCGAAAGTAACTTTTATATTCGCGAAGAATGGCCGTTTCGAGACAAAGGAATTTAGATCAACCACCATATGTATATATATATATGTATATGTGTGTGTGTGCTTGTGGGTGCATGCGCACGCCATTCCATACGCACATACGGCTATGGACAGATGTATCTACACGAGCATAGGTGTAGATATGTTATACGCAGAGTATGGCTTTTTCTGTTATGTGGCTCATATAGTTAGGTGATACGCCGTGACCGCCCTAGAAATGTCTTTCAGGAAGAGCTTCGCGGTGATGTCCTTGAAACCCCTCTCGGACGAGCAGCGGCTCGGCAAGGAAAGCGAGCATCCTTAGGCAGTAACTGCGGAACCATGTGGTGGTCCGTAGGCCTATGCTGGTCTAGGTCGCAACGGCAGTCAAGCGTACTATTTTTAGGGGGGTGCAAGAGCTGAGGGTGGTCAATGAACAAAGCTGTTTGGCCAAAGCGTGGCGTTCCTCTTGAAACAGGTTTGCCGCGTGTCGGTTTGCTTTGGCCAACCTTCCGTCTGAGTCGTTTGTTTTTGCGGTTGCGTCTGATCCATTTGAAATCACGACCCCAAAAGGTGAGCTGTGTTCAACAGCCCAAACGCTTAGCTGTGTCCACGAAAGATGGTTATTTGTTCTTTTGGTTTTCTGCCAAGCGGTTCAGTGGATTCCGCCCTCTAGCACATACTGTAGCACATTGTAGCACGTCTTTTTGGCTTTGCTGCGCACAAATTTGTCCGCAGGAGCCTTTTCCCTAGGGGTTGCCCCGCTTCCAGACTCGTGGTGGCCTGTCCCCCGTTTTCTGGATAGGGGTTCTCAAAGCCTACAACACAACAGGTGCTCTTTTTTCCATGGCCACTGGGCTGAGCCGAGTTTCTAGCGTCCGAGGCAGAAGCAGATCATCTTGAACCAGGTCCAGAAGGAAGGCAACGAGTTCTTCGAGAAGCTCCTGAAATTCGCAGAGCCTTGGCAGCGAATCGACCGGATCATCGATCTGACCTTTGAGATTTCCCATTGCCCATTTTACCAAAAGGTGATCACCTTTTGTTTCTGGGTCCTTAAGGGGCAACTGAGGCGAGAGACAGGGATGAGAGAGAGGGAGAGAGCCCAACACCAAACCTTATTGGCCAATGTGCTTTCCTTCTGAGCCAATACCCGCCTTTTGCTTGCCTGTACCCAGTTTAAGGACTGTAGTTGGAGGGGCATCCGATCCTGGGGCTCAACCCTTGGGATTCGACGCTGAGAGCAACCAGTTTCTGGACCTGATTTGTTGGAAGATCGATTTGGTAAGCTACAAGTCTGGATGTTGTTTTTGTTTTTCTCCTGAGGTGAGGAAGTAAGCAATGGGAAGGGAACAAATCCAACCAAATAAAGGTAAGCAGAGGGTGAACTTTGATGTCGAACATTTGCTGTTTCGGAGTTGGTACCCCTTCTGGGGGGGGTGTGTGTGAGGGAAAAGCAATGTTATGACATTTTTGCAGCCACACACTGAGGTGTCTTGACATATTTATTTGTTCAATAAATCATCGATTTCATGATCCTTAACACTATCCTTTTTTTATCCTCATCTGTTTTCATTATCCTCAAGCCTGCCTGCCTGCCTGCTCGCTCGCTCGCTCACTTGTTTTGCTTTGCTTTGCTTTGCTTTGCTTCGCTTGCTTTGCTTTGCTTTGATTTGCTGGGCTTGGCTTTGCTTGGCTTGCTTTGGTGGGTTTCCTTCAGCTTCAGCCATGAAACAATTTAGTTGGAGCCATTTTGCGCAAGAAATGTCTGACGGTGGCTGTGTTGAAGCTCGTTTCAAATCGTGTTCCAGGCTGGAGAACAGGGGAGGAAAATAGGGAGGATGATTTTTGGAAGGTTGATGTCAGGCAGGATAATTTGTTGGATGATTTTTTGAAGATGGATTCCGGTCAGGATGATTTTTCGAAGATTTTTCGAAGATTGTTCGATGATTTTTTGAAGATTTTTCGATGTTTTTTCGATGATTTTTTGAAAAAAAAACAGGAGGGTTTTGCAACTTTTTGCTTTCCTGACCACTGTGAAGGGGGGTTGGTCCAGAAAATGTGGGTTGGGGATTGTTTTTCGAAGACTTTTCGATGATTTTTCGATGTTTAAAAAAAAAAAAAAACAGGAGGGTTTTGCAACTTTTTGCTTTCCTGACCACTGTGAAGGGGGGTTGGTCCAGAAAATGTGGGTTGGGGATTATTTTTCGAAGATTTTTCGAAGGTTGTTCGATGATTTTTCGATGTTTTTTTTTTTTTTTAAACAGGAGGGTTTTGCAACTTTTTGCTTTCCTGACCACTGTGAAGGGGGGTTGGTCCAGAAAATGTGGGTTGGGGAAGATTTTTCGATGATTTTTGAAAAAATCAGGAGGGTTTTGCAACTTTTTGCTTTCCTGACCACTGTGAAGGGGGTTTGGTCCAGAAAATGTGGGTTGGGGATGATTTTTCGAAGATTGTTCGATGATTTTTCGATGATTTTTTGAAAAAAACAGGAGGGTTTTGCAACTTTTTGCTTTTCCTGTCAGTCTCAGGAAGAGGAAGAGTGAAAAGGGAAAGAAGGAACAGGGCAGGGCAAAGAGAATTGGAGAGGACAAGGAAGAGAAAAAGGAGAAAGGAGATGGAACATGGAAACAAGAAGAGGGAAATAGAAAAGGGTAAGGAACGGGAAGGAACGGGAAGGAAAGGAAAATGGAAACGCAGAGAATAGAAGCGATGTGGAGGAGGGATGAAGGAGGAGGGGAGAGGATGATTTTTCGATGATGTTTTTTGCAGAGGATGATTGTAGGATGATTATTGGATAGGTTTGAGGATAACCAAATCGATGATTTTTTGAAAAATAAATATTTCAAGATTTCCAGTCTCTGGCTGGCTAAAAAAATCATAAAAGCAATGGAAAAGCAGTCACTGCTGGGGCGCCCTGCTTTAGACTCTGGACAAAGCCGTCATCAATGGGCTTCGAACCACAACGGGTCACCAGGCATTTAGGTACCCCATAGCCAAAGAAGGCGGTGTCCTTTTCTGAGGATAGCCCTGGTTTTCATGGCAAACCAAAGAGCTTTATTTGTTTTGTTTTTCTTTCCTTGCTTTCAAGGGCGGGCGGTTGCCCTTATCAGACGCACCCACAAGGACGTAGGGAGGTGTGAACATGGCTCACATTGACATGTCGTCTTGCATGGACACCTCCATGTAAAGGGAGCGAGGATGAATCAACCCTGGATGAATTTGATCGGGTGTGGGGGAGTTCGACTTTCGATCAAGGGCCAACACTTAGGTAACCGAATTCGAGCGATTCCATCCGGGCCCCAACAGCCATGTCAATGGTTTTTGTTTTACCATGATAAACACCCTGCCGGTTCGGGTTGACGAAGCCGAATTCGAGGGGGCCAAAAGGGGGCCCCAAAGAGCATGCATGTCCTTGCAGATTTGAGGGTAGCAGTTACCCGCAGTTACCCTCCCAATTTTTGCTGTGTACCCGTGGGCCACAATCAAAGCTGGCTGGCATTTTAGTGCCGGGTAGTTCTGAGGTGCGGATGCTTGGGAAGGCCCGTGAAAACCAGGTGTTCCCGACTCTGCAATTGGGTGTGGCTCAAAATTAAACAGGGTTACGCAGGTTGTGGTCCATGTTTCCACTTACCAGGGTTCCAATTTGGTACCGGTTTTTGAGCCACAGCCAATTCGAGGAGATCCGGGCCAAGCACGACAACATCTACTACAACCAGGCCTTCTCCAATCCTGAAGACCGTCGCTTCATGGAGAAGAAGTTGCCCGCCACCAATCGCTTCAAGCCGCTCGGCAGCTATTCCTACAGGGCTCATAATGTTTACGGTTTTTGGATGCTTAGGGATTCCCAAAGTCAAAAACTGGGGGGGGGGGGGGGTTACGCAATCTTCCCAACCACGGGGGGGGGGGGGGGGGGGGCGAGTTCTTTCCCTTGCGCCTACCATTGAGGGCGTGGCTTTGGCGAAATGATGGGACAGCAGCGGGTGGGAAAAGGGATATCTCCTGAACATGTGAGGCATTCCGGAGTTCTCAGAAAATTGACTCACGCGAGTTGTGTATGCGCATGCCCGATGAATCAAGGGGTACCAAATACACGAAAGTTCTTCCAGAGTCATTCCCTCCCCCAAACAGAAAAGGACTCAATAACAAAAACGTACTTTCAAGCCGTAGAAGACAAATATTGGTTAAGAAGGTGGGCTTGAAGAAAGCATGTGTTGCTGGTAGCTGGGCGAGCAGGGTTGGTGAAGATCTGTAAGACCTGTGAAGATTCATGGGGAGATTTGTTTAGTGAAAGTCCGCACCCGCAAACCGCAAACTCTTTACCTAAGCCTTCTGCCAACAAGTTTCCAGCGGGAAAAGAAGGCCGAGGCGCTGATACTCAAGAATTCAAAAGGGGCACTCGATTGACGATTGGAATTTCCCTGGTAGACATGTTCCGAAACTACAAACTAAACCAATGCTAAACCAGTGCTGAACTAATACTAAGCCAATATTAGACCAGTAGTAAGCCAGTATTCAGGGCACGGATGAATGTAGTAGTTGTAGTAGTAGTTGTGGTAGTAGCAGTAGTAGTAGTAGCAGTAGTAGGGGTAGGAGTGCTACGACCGCTACCGCTGTTGCTACTGCTACTGCTGCTACTGCTACTACTACTACTACTACTGCTACTACTGCTACTACTAGTACTACTACTACTGCTACTACTGCTACTAGTAGTACTACTACTACTACTGCTACTACTGCTACTACTGCTACTACTGCTACTACTAGTACTACTACTACCACTACTACTACTACTACTACTACTACTACTACTACTACTGCTAGTTTGATCGATTTTATGGCTTGTTGTTCAGAATTATGTTGCAATCCTTCGTGCCAGTTCCGCTCCGGACTATACAGACGGGGATGCTCTCTGAGTACCAGCAGCTTACAAACAGCAGCCCCTTTCAGAGAAGGGCTCCTAGCATTAGGGCGAACAGGTCCCAACCTACAGAGCAGGAGCGCCTAGACATGGCAAGTAGATGTAGAAGCAGAGATGGTTCTTCCGGTCGCTGGAAAGTACACCTAGGGAACGCTATCTGATTATCAGGCTGGGCGGCCACCCTACGCACGTCCCTCCCCCACAGAAGCGAAAAGGCAAACTAGTGGGCAACCATCCCCGGGCATCATATGCTCGCAAAACACTCGGTTGGCAGTTTGCTTTGCTCAGGTAGCTGCTTAGCTCAAATCCGCGTGTTTCGCTCAGTTGCAGCCGGGTTCATGGAGGAACCCTATTGGGAAGGCCATCAGGGTAAGGACCCCCGTGGCGCCGGGAGGGTGATTGTTCGGAGCAAGCCGGCGCGGGCGGCATTCGTCCAGCAGGACGGAATCTGCCATGCGAATTTCCAGGACAAAGATGTGAAGTTTGTGGCCCATGCGTTTCTGGAAGGCGGATCTATTGAGCCTTTGGGTGCCGTGAGGGTGTCCGAGGATCGCCAGGTGAGAGATCCGGGTTGCCATCCTGACCAGATGTTCTTCGACAAAAGCCACGCCAAGCTCAAGGATTTCCAACGGAAGGAGATTCAGTGGATTGAGATTGATGCCACCTACTTGCCCTGCGAGGGAAACCAGAACTGCTGCACAAACAGGGTGCCTTATTTGCTGCGCACCTGGCTGGCAAACGCTGGGTGCAAGAAAGCGGACAATTTGCCGGTCTGGATTTTCGCCCACAAGTCAGACACCGACGTCGTGGCGCGTGGCGTTGGCCAACAGGCTCGTCACGAGCACCAGTGTATCTTCTTTGCCCTTGACAGCGCAGAGGCGCAACTGCAGCAAGCCCGGCAAAGCCCTCAGCCCTGGAAATTTTGCTGATGGCACAAGGTGATTGGCCCCAGTCAATTTGAAGACTGTGTGCAGTGTGGCCTGCCCTCCGAGCCATCCTGAGAAGGGTATCGCGATGTGGGATGTGCTTTCTGCGTCTGAGTGCGGCGGCCTGAAAGACGTGCTGTTTTCATTGGGCCCAGCGCCCCACACGATCCACCCCAACAAGGCCTCAGAAGGCCTGATGTCGGGCAAAGACCGCAATAGAGCCACACTTGGGCAGCGTTTGCTTTTCTTCTTTCTTTTTTTTTTCGGGGGTCCCTGGGGCAGTTGTTCAACGCCCTTTAAATCTTAACCCCGGATGAATCAATCTGGTGATCTGGATCCCCGCAAGAATTGCACACCCCCGAACCCATGTTTTGTGGCGATCCCTCAATCCCCGTAGCTTCATTCCCAAAAGCCTTGGGTTTTCCCACCCTGTGAACGGTCATCCCTTGAACCAGCCCTTGTCCTTCCCTCGGATCTGTGGATGCCCAAAGAAACCTCCACCTCGTCCAGTCGTTGGCGCCTGAGCGCCTTGAGCGACTCAGGCGGGAGGACGGATCCTGGGACCGGAAGAAGCTCCAGCACACGCTGAGTGGGGAAGTGATCCAACCAGCAGGCTCTGGACCCTTGAAACAGCAGCTCATATGCGGGGCGGGGGGGGGGGGGGGGGGGCAAAGGGAAGCTAAACCTCTCATTTTGGGGGTTCCTTGCGAGATTAACCTTTTGGTGTCTGATTTAGAGTTGTCTTCCTGGCGTAATGGAAGAAGAAAGGGCTGGATTCCACTTTCAGCCTATAGGATCGATTATGATCGATTTGCTTGTCCCATTAAAGTGCCTCCAGGGTCCTTGTGCCCCCCCTTTCTTTTTTACTTTGTTTTTTTTGGGGGGGTCCCTTCGAAATGTCTGCATGTTTGTCATGGATATTTTCGACGGGGCCTGCGAGACTTTACACATGATCATGTAACGGGCCAGGCTGGCAAAAAGACTAGCTTGTTGCGCAAAAAGTGTAAAGTTCCTCCTGCAGGGCCAAACTTATCCAGAAAAGGACTTCGGCACACGAAATGGCCGAGCCCTGAGGAAGAAACACATTCCCCAAACAATGGGAACGCCTCCCGCCAAATGATCAGTGGGGGGTCAATCAACTATCCGCCAACCAGGGGTTCACATTTCGGCGCTGCAATACGCGCAAATGTTTGAATCGCAGTGTGCTCCACGTTGCTTTTCTGACGAGCTGCCCAAACTCGTGCTTCGGCGCCAGGCGACCAGCTGACCGCGAAGTACTTGCAGAATGCGTCCGCATACTTCACAGAGGAGTTGTTTGGCCCCGCGGCTGCATTTGCAAAATGACTCAAAGTGAACCCTCCTGTCCACAAACACGGACCCACCAGAGGATCCGTTCCAAAGGAAAGCAGTTTTCCACCACCCCCTCAGGTTCCATGTTGGTGGATAGGAGGGTAGTTGTCCAATGAGTTCACCATCTCAATCCCCCACCAAGCATGGTCCTGCATTTAGGCATTTAGTTGCCTTGCAGAACCAACGTGCCTTGAAACCTGCTGTTGAACACCCCCCCCCGGCAACTGAGTACTGCCGACCCTGGATTGATAAACCCAGCGGATGGAAATGAGAGCCCCCCCCAAGCATTCAACCAGGGTTTCGCTTTTGGGTTTCCACTGGGTAGGTTACCAAAAATCGGGAAGTTGTCACTTATCACTTCTTTCCATGTTCCATTGGTAGTCAACTTATTTTCCATAGGCTTTCGTTAGGCTACATGACATTTGTGACGGGTGAGTTCTTTCATCACCAGGCTTACATCCGACTTGCGTGGGTGCCCGGGTTGAACGCCCAAGGGGGTTGAGAAGGCAGAGGGTAATCAGATCAGGCCTCCCTTGAATCCACTCCAGTTGGTCTTCCCGCCCGCGGCTCATATTCAGCCAGCGAAACATCAAGGCAAAGACACACTTAAAGGTTTGTTTCAGTTGGGATTTTGTAGAACTTCGGTTTAGTGGTTTGCACGAGGTTTACGTAAACCTTTACTTGCTAGCATCTTGGCAGAACCACCGCTGAATGGCTTGAGGCGCTGTGTGCGTAAGGGTAGGTCTTTTGGGAGTGCTGCCACCAGACTGCAAACAAGCTTTGGTAAATCGTCTGACCCTTGCAGACGGAACCCAAACAACATCCTTCTTAGAGGAACATGTTTTTGGAAGACCCCTGTTTAATTTGCAGGAGAGAATTGGCGGGAAGTGTAGGATTTACAAAGCGAATCACGCTTAAGAGCCCAACGCAAGGGCAGCCGAGCCAAGCCAGTAAAGAGATGCTGTTTCAATCCCTTGCCCGTTGCTCATGTGACCTCAGTGGTCTCTCAGTTCCCTTTTTTTGTGGCTCCAAAAGTGGCAGTTCCATTTGGAAGGCACCACTAGGTTGAACAATTGTTGAAACAACAAAGAATACAGGCGTTTGGTAGAACCCTGATTGGCGCAACGGACTGGGGCCCAAGATGAGTTATTAGTAGACTTCAAGCTGCCCTGGCCCATTGGCACCCCAGCTTTATTCAATTCAATGGGGCACGGAAGCCAGGGACAAAGCAAGCCTTCAGCCGGTTCAGTTTGAAGGCCAGGTTCCCCGCTCAGGTGAGATGGATCGCATGCTGGCAGACCAGCAGCCCACCGCAGAGTTGGGCAAGTTGGTGAAGGACTCGACGCGCTCGGCGGAAGTTTTTCGCACGATGGGCGAAAGCCGCTGAAGACTGCGGTGTAGGGTTTTGTCCATTCGCCATGTTCCATTCACCTTTGCAACTCAATGGGGGGAAACCAGTAGCAACATCAGAGCAGGGAAGTGGATCCCCCTTTTGCCAGGCACACGGGTGGTTTCTGGTGGCTCTTGTCGTTGTGTTTCCTCACCATAAAGCCACAAGTAGTTAATGGGTGATCAGCTGGAGGTTCATTTGAGTTGTGCGCATATCATGGGCTTTCAGTTGTTCAATGGTGGATCCGGGGCTCCTTCATCGGCAGGCTCTCACTGAAGTTGGCCACCCCCAGTTACGGTTTCCTTGTTCTATGGTTTCGGTTCCTTTGTCAAACGAGCAAGCATGACTCCAGTGCTGGATGCTAGAACCTGCTAGCAAGTACGTGCGTTGCCAGGAAGCTTCCGTGCCCATGGAAAGTACCTGGACCCACAGTTTCTCTTGATCCGGTTCGGTCTGAGCAGCAATGCCACCATTGGCCGTTCGAGTCAAGTCACCGATCCCCGCTCCATCCACTTTCATTTGATAATTTGTGGCCAAAATGGTCACAACGTCTTGGTCTTCCCCGTGGGGCGCTAACATTTGTGCAATTTGTTTTTCATGCGTTGCTGCTTCAGGAAGGGAAGCCGATAGAAATTCCAAGCTGAAACCTATGTTTGACTTAAGTTAAGCCTGGTTTTGGGGAGCACTGCGGACCTCAAATCCATTGGCTCTCTTGAGGTGGGTTTGGGCATTGGGGTTGGCCCTGTGGCCCGCCACGTCAACTTTGTTTTTTTGTTCCGCAAATGCGTGGCTCGTGTCTTTTTTGGATTTCCCTCTAAACACCAACAACGGGGGTACCCTCAAACAACCACAGACCCAAATGCGACTTGAACTTGGGCCTTTTCGGGGCCAGGAGCCCGAAGAAAACAGGAAACAAACATAAGCTTTGGTGACATCCCCAACAGCATGCGGCTCGCACCACCCCGCAGACCTGGTGCAACCCTGGTGGAACCCTCGTGGAACCCTCGTGGAACCTTACCTCAGGGCCGCCGACCACCGATGGAAAAAACACGAGCCATGGGGATCCATAGACGCCAAGGAGAAGTTCCCAGGCACCGAGGCCTTCCCCTCGGGCCCGTCCTTGGCGCAGAAGCAACTTGGCCCATCCCGTGCGAGTTGGAATGACCTCTTTTTCAGCCAGCCCCGTGGATGGTTGCGAAATCCACTTTCAAACCATGAGTAACCAGTGTTTGCTGGTATTTACAGGGGAACCGTCATTCCAGGTTTATTATGGTGCAGGATTTCGTTCATCCACAGCATGGCTCTCTTTAAGGGAACCCCCAGGTCCAATGAGAAATGGAATGACGCCGAGTTTGTTTGCAGGGTTGTAGGGGCGCTCAAGTTTTTGAACAAGCTGCAAAAAGAAACACCGTGTCTTTTTGTCTTTGGTGGAAGGAAGATGGCAGGGAACTTGTTCTTAACGTGGCAACTGGGGAAACTGGGGTTCGCTCCACTCTGGCCATGGTGGGATCACCTACTTGCCTGACGTGGGTTGGTGATCCAAGTTGGTCGGGGGTTCCGTTTCACATGCACTCACCAGAAAACTGACGTCTTTGTCCTACCGCTGGGCAAGTGAGGCTTTACGAGCTCGCTGAGAAGAAGAAAGACACGCACCAGAGCCTTTGGTCCAAGGCTTGCATGAACTGCTTGCTTCATTGCGTGTGGGAAGCAGGCAGGCAGGCAGGCAGGCAAGCAAGCAAGCAGTGAGCTGCGAGCAGGAAAATAATTCCTCACCATTCCCCCTTTGCTGTTTGTCCTTGAATGTCCTTATTCCTGCAAGATGCCATGTGAAATGTGCCGCCAGGTGGTGTCTGCTACAGACCAGCTGCTGGCGGTAGCAGAGCACTTTAAGCCGCTTTTTGAGAAGACAGTGGACGCGCAGAGCTCAGATCTTGGCAGCTTGCGGCACAGAAGGTGGCCCCGCATTCCATCCAGTCCCCTTGTGCGACATTCATTGCAGCCTGTGCAAAAATAGTACCGGAGTGAGTCATTGGGGAAGGGGACGGTGGAACCCTGAAATCCATGTCCAGCTGCCATGTTTCTTGTTTTTTGATGAGGAAGCACCGAGGGGCCGCAGGCCCATCCCCCTCACTTGAGAGTATTGAAAAGCGACGGAGGCCTTGTGCATCAACGTGAAGAAACAGCTGCAGCGGGACAAGGCCGGAAACGTTGCCGAGTTCCGACAGCGCTCGAGCTGTCTACCTGACGTCGAGGTGCTGTCAAGACCAGGGTAGTGTTTCGGGAATGGCCGTTTGGGAGCCGCTCTGGACTGAGCATGGTCAGGGTGCCCATAGTTTGGGCTCAGCTTCACATTCTGCCAGGAGAAGATGGAGAAGAAGCCGCCCGCAGAGGAGCTGCAACTGCCGACTGTGGCCTGTGAGAGTGCGGAGCAGGAGGGGCAGAAGGATCAGAAGGAGCAGGGGGAGCAGAAGGAGCAGGGGGAGCAGAAGGAGCAGGGGGAGCAGAAGGAGCAGGGGGAGCAGAAGGAGCCGGAGGAAGAATCGGATGAATATGAGCTGATCATCGGTCCGTTGAAGGATCCTGTCCGAATTCACGAGAAGGCACGGATTGGCATACTGCCGTGCGCAGTTGGAATAGCCTCTTTTAAGTAAAGCAGCCTCCAACATCATGCTGGGCAGGGTGACACCACACTCCAATCCACTACCCTCAGCAGATACGGGATACATATCCACCTTATTCCACTATGCAGCCGTTATGCCAAGGGCCACTAGTATATGTGTTTAACAGAACCCATCATTCTCTTACAAAAAAAACAAGTTCAAAGAGATTAGGTTACTCTAACTTGGTGATGACAAAAACGAAGACGATGATTTATATGGCCTACATGTTAAATAATAATAACATAATAATAATAATAATAATAATAATAATAATAATAATAATAATAATAATAACAAATAATAATAACAATAATAATCACAAATAAAAATAATAATAATAATAATAATAATAATAATAATAATAATAATAATAGTAATAATAATAATAATACTAATAATAATAATAATAATACTAATAATAAATAATAATACAAATAGACAATAGTAATTAATAATACTAATAATAATAGTAAGCTAACAATATAGTAATAACTGGAGCGCCCTTCGTTACCTCAATTTCCGTTCTTCGCCCAAACGCATTGCAATACCAGGGGTCGTCACCAAAATGGTCAACCGGGCGTCACTTTTCCCGCGAGCGCTTTTTTGCAAAACCGGGCTGACCGGTCCTCCAAGATGGTCGGTCGCTGAAAGGAGCGAGCAGAAATCGAAGTGCAAAACGAGCGCAAATTTAGAAAACACGCAACAATTGCTCGCCTTCTTGCGGATGGAGGAAGGGGACTTGATCGAGTGTTTTTTTCGTGGGGTGAGTGTTCTTTTGGGGGGTTGAGCAGAAATTGGTACATTTTTCTCGTACCGGGAAAAAACGTTGGGTGCTTCAGGCAATAGTAATGATGCAGCAATCAATGGGATAACAATCTATCCAACGGACCTGCAAAAGCAGCACCAAGGCTGGGAGCCTGGACAACTTTTGTTTTTTGCTTCCTGCAAGCTGATTGGATTCATTTCATCAGAAATCCATGCTTAACGCTGGGTGAAAGGGGCCAATGCTCAAAAGGATCCCGCGAAACAGACTCACCTTTGGGCAAATTGAATGTAACAGGGGCCAAACGGGCAGCTTTGGAAAACTCAGGGAAGGAAACTAGGAGCAACGGACAATATCTGGCAGGATCGGTTTCTTGTGGTAATGCCTATGCCGTGGTTGGCGGCAATGGATGGTTTGCACTTTCGGGGCGGGGGGGGGGGGTTGGCAGCTGCTTGGCTTAGAGAATGTTTAGCTACTCGAATGGTAAGATCCAGCCGGAGAACTCGCTGGATTGCATGGTTCTGATTGTTGTAGTTCTTGCCGGTGCTTGGCAGGCAGCAGATGACTATGCCGACCGATTCCCTGAACTCCTTCCAGAAGCCAACGTGGTGGATGTTATCCGTGCACGCCTGGTGTGCAGCAGCGGGACACAGATGAAGACCTTCCTGGAGAAGATTGCGAAAGGATTCGGGTTGGGCAAAGTTTGCTTGCGCAACCAGACTCAGGCCGCTTTCAATGAGAGAGCCAAAGCTAAGTTGCTTGAACACTAATGGGTGTGCCTTTTGTTAAGGATCTTGAAAAGGGTGGTTTCCCTTTTGGTTTCCCTTTGAAACAGACAACAAAGGGGACTCTGGATCACTAATCCTTTGCTGCTTTGCTATAAAAAGTGGGGTGTCCCTGAGCTTAGTGGGGGCTCATCACTTCTGGAGGGGAACATCCCCTAGAAATAGGACGGGTTTAATCCGTGGTTCCCGTTACCCTCCAAAGGACAGATCCAAATTGACGGTAACCTTTCAAGGAGTAGGCCCATTTGGACAGGATTCAAAACCGAGATCGATGGGCAGGAGGCCAAGTTGACACTGGCGCGATCCAAGAACAAGTTCTCGAGCAAGGATTCGGACCCGTCCCGCTTTCGGAACGTGCTGCTCAACTTGGAGTTGACCAGCAACAATGTCTCCCATTTTGTGGAGCTGCAAGTCCATCACAAGCTGATCCTGGACTACAACGAAGCAGCTCGGATATCAACAGTTGTTCGTTTGTTCATACATTTACTTTCCCTGTCACTGCACCACCGCACCAAAGAGCGACAAACTTTGATTTAGTCAACCCAAAGGAGATGCTTAAAAGGCTTGCCAGTGGCAATATGGTGTCAGGTTTTAGGTGTGTTTTTCTTTTTTCTGGCGACGTTGACCTGGACGGGCTCCTTGCGGCCCATTTTCCGTAGGTAAGCCATGCCCATGACTACTACGACTTCTTTCGACGAGAGTTGGCCAACCAGTACGGCAAGGAGATGGAAACCAGCCGGGGCCGAAGATGGGCTGTGGATGGACCCAATTGCACCCATGCAACACTGGTACTTGTGAACTGGTGACATGTAGTCAAGCTCTTTGCGCTTATTGGCTCTTTTCGTGTTTGGGGGGCTGCGAAGGACAAAGTGCTTGACATGGCTTGGGAAGAAACGGTTGGATTTCTGCAGTCCTTCAATTCTCGATCCGGAGTGCCCAGAGTCAATGCAATTGTGACTTCCACCCATTCTCTTGGCCGAAATCCGGAGTCGAAATGCCCATGGTCTGTTAGCATGTGTGTCATGATCAAAAGACCTAGTTTCTTGGGGGATGCTAGGGCTGGACTTCTCTTAAAGAAAAACGTCCCGACTGCATTCCAGGCCTGAACTTCATGCTGGAGGAACGCATGCTGCTGTTCAAGGACGGGTGGCTTCGGCATCCACGCAAAACTTGTCAACCCCCCCCAACCAAAAGACAACAAATACATGTTCTGCGTTATTGGGTTTGAATTCGGCCATAAGATTCAGGCACCCCCCAAATTGGTGGTTTTTTTCTTTTTCTTTTTTTTGCTCGGGGATGTGAACCTTTGGTGTTTCTAGAGGTAAACGGGAAACCAACGCTTAACCACAACACCAATTGGAGGGAAGCTGAAGATTGCAATGAAGTGCCGCCTTTTCGGGTCGGCCCTTGGCCATTCCGGCCGTTGCGGGTCGTTGGGTTGTTCTGCGCAGGAAATCTCAGAGGTGCCGGTACTGCTGTCGGTCATGACCATGGCTTTGCTGCACTCTCGCAACATGCCCTCGAACCTGAACGAGCTTTACGCCGCTTGCAGCATCCTTTAAGCGTTGTAAAGAAGGGCGAGGTGCAGGTGAGTGGAGATTGAGAGCATCAAGGTGGCTGACTTGGGGTTACGGCTTCAAGCGCGGGTGGTACCACCGATAAAATGACCTTTCACCTTTAAGCAGAGCACAGTGTACGTAGTGTAGGGGCCGCCCATGTTTTTCCCCGTCGGGATAGGGTGAGTGGATCTCAGCTCAGGACATGGGCCTACGGAACATGCTGATGAGCCGCTTGGGGGAGGCGTCGGAGGATGAGGACAGGACTTGGCATATCATGAAGCTCATCGCATTGCTTCTGGGCCGAAATTTGGCAAGATCTGCGATGACTTCTCCCTGGGTGAGTCCCAAAACAGCCGGCTGTCGAACTTGTGGTTGGAATGCTGCAGAGGCGAGGGAACGCGGGTTTTGGCTCACTGGATTTTGGGCACTTGGATTCTCACGATGTGCGACCTTCAGACCCCCGTGCAGGGTCCGTTTATGGCTCATGTTTTTTGCGTGCAAGTTAGGGGTGGTCCCAAAGGATCTGTTTTTTTTTTGGTGCGTACCTCTGACTAAGTATAGACCCATTCGACATGGCCAAAATGTATTCTAGGAAATCTCCAAATGTGTGCTAACTGCGCAACTGTACCTGTTGCTTGGGTATGCCAACTGGCTGAGACACACAGGGTTGAACATTGACCAAGGCAGAACCACTTCAACAGCAAGCGCATCTTCACTGCCAAGGACGTGGAAGAGGCGGGTTCCAGATCTAATTCGGGTGATTGATGCCTGCGGGGCTTGTTTGAGCTTCTTTGTCTATTGCTTTGTTGGATTTGTGTACCCACTTTTGGGGGTGTTCAAGCCGATTTCCAAAGGGAAGCCAGGTTTATTTTTGATGGACCATGGCAGCTGTGGCATTGTTGCATTTTTGCCGGCCAAAGCGAATCATGCTTTGAGCCTGGCGTTTCTTTTTTGGCTCAGGTTTGAACATGGGGGAATGGGACCGTCCACCTCTCACTTTGAGGGAAGTGGCTCTCCCCGGAGACAAACCGTGAGACCCGCTTCAACCTTTTTGCCGTTGGCGGAATGTGCCCGAATGTGCTCGTTTCGGTTGGATCCGGACAAAAACAGCTTAGGCGTGATAGAAACTATTGGGTTTCTCAATTTGTTTGTGTCCCATTGGGCTCTCTTCCGGTGCAGTTGAGATGTGTCTAGTGCAGTAAAAAGTGCCCCAAGAAAGAGGCCACTGGGATTTCCATATTCATCCCAGGTGGCCCATGCTTGCTTTACCTGGGGGGAGGCCACAGGTGGATCAAGAGATTTCTAGCTCACTTGAGGGCCCCTTGTGTTCACTAACCTGGGAAGGCGTTTTTCATGTCAGCTTTTGGTTTGGGGTCGGACATGTGGCCCAGGCCACAGGGTCCAGCTTCCGTTCCTTGTTGCCAGGGTTTCCAACCGGGGGAAAGAGCGAGAGAGAGAAACAAAAGGCGACAGAACATGTGTGCTTTGTCTTTCTCAGGAAACTAACTAGAGGTTTGGGTTTTGGGCGCCTCGTTTGGCAACGCCTTGAGGCCCTGCGTGCAGAGCCTGAGCTGCTGCCTTTGTTTCGTCGCTTCGTGGATGACGCAGACGTTCCATTCGTCAAGATCCTGGCGGACGGCGAGGACGGGTCTGCAAAGTACTTTGAAACAACCAGGCGCCGAGTGGTGCCCTTGTTTCCTTTGTTTTGGGGGGTTTCCTTCAAAATCAATGCTTGCGGCTTAAGCAATCAGACCCTAGGATAAAGGGGAATCGAAAGGAAGGTGTTGAAGCAAAAATGGGTTCAACACTCACTTCCTGGGTTCCTGTATGGTATGATATTTTGTGGGATCTTTTTGGGAAGGCCATTGCAGTGGTAACATGTAAACAAAAAGCTTGGAGCTTTTGGAAATGAGGACATGTTTAAACAGGGTGTTGGCCCACCCTGGGCGAGGATGCCGAGTTTCAGTTCAGGCTGGTGGGATTCGATGCGCTCGGGCTATTCGTGGATCTTGGGCTCGTATGGCTGTCTTTGTTCTTTGGAGTGGGGGGGGGGGGTCATTTTTTGTGGGTGGCTGGAGTCGGGGGGGCAGTGGTGGGGGTTGCCTGGCGGACGCAATTTGCAGGGTGAGGCTTGGAAGGGCCTCCCGCCTAAGGTCATGGATCCGGGGCGAGCTGAGCAGTGCGCCAGCAAAAGTAATTAAAGGTGAGAAGGAGCACCAGCCATGGCCTTTCACACATGGTTTCGAGTAGGCCGCTTTGGACCCAGGTGTTCAGTCGGCGATGGTCGCATGGCGCAAGGCACTTGAGCTTCCAAGAGGCGCTGGTCGCCAAAGTCTTGGGCGAGAACGACGCAAGAGCAGCGGAGGCGCGGGGGGCCGATTTGGGCAAAGAGGCCAAGACAAATTCGTCCAGCTGGCAATTTGAGTCGTTTAAATTTCGTCGCCTCATCCTTGTCGTTCAGCAAAACTGGTCGAGCCCCTACAAGCTTCCGGGTTTCTTTGGGGCTTGGCAAACAACGTGCCCCAGCCTCGAGGGCCAAGTGTGGGATGCCGGGAAGAGACCTGAGCCAAGCAAATTGATAAGAAGGGCCGGCGAAAGGGGAATTGTCCCTGGAAACAGCTAGCAAAAACGAGTGCCTCAGTTTCCCCATGGCGGCGGGCTGGGTTGAACCATGTTCACATGGTTGTCGTTGGGAAACATTTTTCCCATTTTTGCTTATTGTGGTTTAGTGGTTAAAATCCCCACTTAACTGCTAAAATTTAAATTGTTGCTCCCCTTCCAACGTCAAACAAGTTTATAGGGCTTGGCATGCCTGGCTGCAGATGGCGGGCATGGAGAGGGATTTTGACCAAAGTTTTGGCGCCAGACGCACCCAAGTGGGGAGGGGTTTGGCTGAGCAGCGGGAAGCTGAGTTTCCCTTTCGGATGAAGTGCAAGTCGCGCGGGTCGGCCCTAAGCCATCCACCCAATTGTTGGTTTTCTCGGCTTAGTGCTTCGGAGCGGTAGGCTAGGGTTCTGGAAAGGTTCCGGGGTTTGGAAGGGGGATGCCACCTCCGCCTGTAAGAAGGGTGGACACGGTGAAATCACATTGCCCTGATCATACTTCTTGGCTTCCTGCTTGCCAACCCGCTTGAAGCATGAGCGTATAATTGCCCATTTGGGAGCAGTGGCATGAACAACAGTTTCAGGGTTAACCCAATCGGGCGTGTAATGCGTACCAACAATCACAGGCTTGGCCATCCTGAGTCGTCCTTGGTTTGAGCCACCGTTGGTTGCTTTTGATTGGGAATCCAAAAAGGAAACCAGCCCTTTTGGAGTCCTTTCAGCTTGTGGCGGGGCAAAACCGTCAGTCAGACTGAGGCAGCTCAAATGCTGAAGCAGCAACATGGGAGTTTCGCGGAGTTCTTGAACAACCCCTTCATGAGAAACATGCTGCGCATTGGAGCAGGGCCTCTCGCTTGCAGTTTGTTGGCTCGAGGGCTATTTGTGGACAGTCGGCGAAACAGGTTGAAACAGCCAACCCCCACCTTGCGGGGGGTTTAAACATGTTTTAAGCAAGCGGGCCCGATCCTGCTGGTGGAGGTCTTGCTTAAGTGTAGCTCAGCAAGTCGGCATGCAGGCATGCAGGTATGCAGGCAGTCAGGCGGCAGCTTGGAGCAACGTGGTTTTCCTCTTGGCGTGGGTTCGCTCGGTGCTTGCAGACTGCGCCCTGCTCCTTTGCAGACTGCGCAGCTGTGCGGCACGGCGATTCAGCAGGCAAGGCAAAGATAGCTTAGTGTTGTAGCGACCATGAAGCGAGGCACTTTGTCCTGCAAGGTCAAACGTCTGGCGGTGCACGGAACAAGGCGGTCATGTGACATGGGCGACTGGAATGTGGCCAAAGTACCTTTACCAAGTCAAGCAACAAATTTGGTGACCAAAGCACAGGTCGGTGCGGAAATCTGCCGAGGCGTGTTGAGCACACCGGATTGGAGGCAAAGGTTGGAGATGCCTTACGACCGGTTCGTGAATCGCATTCGCCACTGGAGTGTCGGTCAAATGTAAAGCGGTCTATGGGGTCAATGTGCTTTTACCACCCAAAAAAAGAGTAAAGAGCTCTCACTGCTTCTTCATGTCCAGCAGGCGAACGGACAATTTTGACCGTTGCTTGCAGGGGCTTTCAGGGGTCAACGGCGTGTCCAGTGGTTGTTCCGCTGCCGATCTGAGGCAAGTGGGCGATGCATTTGGGAAGTATTGGGCATTGACATCACCACTGACAGATGATGGCGTGGCAGGCGCGGGCCGAAGCCACGTTTTTTCCCCCGATTGGCATTTGCTGCGACCTCCCGCGTTCCGTTTTTGCTTGGTGGCTTCACTAGGATTAGCTGCTGAATCCCTTTTTGCTTCAGGGTCGTTGGGCACCTGGACATTCCCATTTCGGGGGGCTAAACAGAAGAGACCTGCGGAGTGGTGCTGCGAACGTCATGATAGCCCACCCCACCCCCTTCAAGCAACCCCCAAACACAGAAACGAAATAACACAAAGTCCTGAGTTGGTCGGTCGGGCTTGGGTGTCGGATCAACAGCGCCTGATATGTCCCCATGTGTCGCCTTCTCTCACCCCACAAGAGGGAACCTGGGTGAGTCTTGACATAAGGGGCCCGGAAACTGGCGGTTTTCCTTCTAGTTTCCTTCTGCTTCCTTCTGCCAAAAAGGCTCCCTCAACCACCGAGAACCCATTTGTTTCCTTTGCGAACGTGTTATCACCACAACGTTGGGCATCTGGTACCCCTCAACCCGAGCTTCCGGCGCTGGAGCTCGAAGTCTCCGTCCCCGAGGCCTGTGGAATCTGCTGCTTGGAGCTCGGAAGCTGATCCTGGTGAGCTTCCTTCATGGACACAACGAGGACCAAGCATTGCTTCTCTCACTTGCTCAAAAACCCTTGACTGCCATTGGGTTGGATCTTTAGACTTTGACTTTTTCAGAAATCAAGGGGTTTTCCATTAAACCCCAAAAAGTCAAACTTTCTGCAGGGGGGCAACAGCAACCAAAAAGCCATCCTGTAGCATTTGTTTTGAAAACATTGACTGGTCCGGTTTCTTGTCATGACCGCGAAAGGTTCACCTTTGGTTTCATGGTCCTTTGGCAAGCTGAGTTGGTTTCCGGGAGATCCCCTGGTGTCAGGTATGCAAGAAGGCCGACATTGTGGCATTGCTGCCACCAGTGCATGGAGTCTATGGAGTTTGCAGCTTGTTGAGTGAAGCAGTGTTTGGCGACCAGTTGGCATGCTGAACGGTTGGTTCTCAACATGGCTCCCCCGCCAAAAAGACTTGCCACTGGTTCCTCTTGGCTTGCTTTGAAACACCCTCCAGGCAGAACTTTATCTTCAACCGTTGGCCGCCAAGGAGAAGTGGAAGACCGAGTTCGAGGGCGCTTGTTTTGTGATACCCTAGGTCCCCCGGCAGTGCCCTGTTACCCTTGTTTGGGGCAGGCTTCCCCTACTAAAATAGACTACCGAAAAAAAAATGGTACCCTTATTCTAACCTCTCTGTTGGAGGCTCTGCATAGAGGCAAGCGAAGTTTTGGAGATGGCCGGCTTTCTTCGACTACGAAAAGCTTCGCTCCTGCAACGCCAGGACAAGTTTCCGCCAAAGTGCGACGACTGGTATCAATCCCTCTTCACCTTCTCGAAGCCGCAGGGGAAGGGCCGCTTGGAAGCGAAGAGTGGACTTCGGCCGTTTCTGTTTCGTGGTTTCTTTGGGGTCGGTTCCTTTTTCTTGGTCCTGTTCATTCACTTGTTTTGGGGTCTTCCCGTTCTTCACGTCTTGTTACTTTTGCTGTGCTGTCCGGAGGCAATCCTTGTAGGTGCTTTGATGTTTGGGTTTGCCAGTCTAGGTGTGGTTTGGCTACGGGTTAATTTTTGTAGTTTATTGAATTGAATTCTTCATTGGTAGTAACTAGTGTTTGTAATGGGGGGGGCTGCAAAGAACAAGTACACTTTCGCTGACAGAGGGCTGGGTAGCATTCAGCAGGCATACAGGAGTTTAGGACTGTTTCAGAAGGAAACCTACCTGGCAGGACAAATGAGTAGTAAGCCACAATAAGGCCATGCAGCAGCTGGCGCATGCTTGAGGCAGTGCCAGGGAACCCTGGCATGGGTTCACCAGATTTCTTGGCTTGCTACGTGTGATTTCCCTTTTGTTTCATGGCTTGGATTGCCCGAAACCGTCACCCCTCAGCAGGCTGGTTCTGCAGTTTCTCTCAAATCCCTGCGTTTTTTGTGGGGCCCAACGGCTGGGCCATTGTTCCATCTGCGTGATGACATGGCTTCCGCGGGGAAAAATCACTCGGCTCCCCAAAAAACAGTGTGTAATGAACCCTTCCATCAATACAAACAAATTACTTGTTGCAGCGGTTGGAGGGTTACTGAGCCAAACGCCTCACCGAGAACAAGCGAGGAAGCACGGTGTTGCGGATTTATGCCTGTCTTCGCAACGCCCACTCGACTTGCTCAACACTCAGAACACGGGCAGCATGCGCAACACAGTCTTGGAGCGTGTCTCTCAACATGGTCTTCGGTTTTGCTTACGGCGAAGCCCTGCCAAAAAACCACGGGAGCATCATCCATGACATACACCCCGCAACGACATCCCCGCAAGAACGTGCCTGCGAGTTGGTCGATTTGTGCCCACGTGGATGGGAGCTTTGCACATGAGGCACGGTGATGTACTCCCTGTCCAAAGTCAACAGCCAGGCGGAAGGGGTGCGCGGGCCGGTGTATTTGTGGTTCCCCTTTCTCAAAAGGGATATTTTCAGAACATGCCAGAGAAAATCAGAGAAACACAATCAGATATGTTTACGAGTTGAAAGCTAGCTCAACGTGTTAACTGCTTGCACCATGGTTTTGTTGCTTCTGCACCTCCCCCCTCCCCCTCAGACATAACAAACACTAACGTTTTGAACGGCACCCCCTCGCACCCTCCCAAAGGGTTTCCACCACTTCAAAACCACTACCGAATAAAATGTGTCTGCACACACACTATGTCTCACTGTTGACGTTCACGAAAGCGTGAATGGAACAGGAGAGACAAGTTCGAACCGATGAGAACCCCTTTTCCAGAAAGTCTCCTGAAAAGTGGAGTTCACGCAGATGAACGTGGAACACAGTGGAGGATTTTCCGGTGGCTTTCAGGGTTTGCATCTGCATGTGTCTCAAGGGGGCCCTTTGGTTTCCCCTTAAAACCAACCAAAAAACGGTTCCCAAAGACACCCACCCATTTGCCCGGCGCGCCTTCTCCAGGTGAAGAATCTGCAGAGCGCGCTGGTGACCTATGAAGCTTGCCACATCCTCTTCCGGGGTGGGATCGACACTTCCGCCTTCGAGGTTGGATCGCCCAGGTCGGATCTTTTTGAAGAGAAGATGCCCAAAAGGCACAAGAGACGGTAGCCCGACCCCCAATAAACCCTTTCGTTCGGGTTTTGGATGACCCTCAGTTGCGGTCAGCGTTCTTTTGACCTCGGACCACCCTTGAGGGCCTCTGCACTGCAACAACCTTGGTCCAAATTCATGCATTCTATGGACAATACAATCGGGGGGGGGTCATTTTTGGTTCCACCAAGATAGAACCTGTCAACAGACAAGCCCGGGGATTCGGCATAGGGTTTGGGGGCTGGTCCATCGCCTGCGGGGTGGACCACAGATCCTTAAATCAGCGTATGTTTTTTTTTTTGCCTCTGAAGTAGCAAGCCATGTGCACACGTATGACGGACCAACTGGACCGGAATGAAATGCCCGCGGTATGAGCAGCAAGTGCTTAGGCAAAGGTTCAAACATTCGTCGCTCTCCATGCTTTGGAGTGTTTCCACTTGCTTGGCCGCGAAGTGGTTTTGGGGGTCTCCTACTGGTTTCTGGGACAACTCTCAGCTGTTACCTGGCAGAGCTTGAGGCTTTTGGATGTCAAGGGGTAGAAGTCTGGCCTTCTTGACCATTTTCAGAGTGGGCGCTTGATTCAGGGGGAAGACGGCCAGTATGAATCTATTTCAACGCATTTTTCGCAAGAGACCCTTCGGCGCAGGGAAGTGAAGAAGTTTCAGGTCGATGGGTACCCTCCCCACTGACGAGCCTGGCTGTCGGGGTTTCCGGGCATGCGGATCGCAATTAAGAGGCTGGGCTGCGGTAGATAATTGTAGATTTATTTTTTTGTGGGTTGAGCTTCCATCCCAAATCAGCGACCAAGAAAGGGTGAGCGTTCTTATTCCTCTTGACCACTACCTTTTAGCGACTCAAGAGGCCATATAACAAAGGGCCATTGAGGGCCGCGATATTCCCTTGGCTCCCCCTTGGCTCCAAATCAGTATTGCCAGCAGGGGGCCCGAAAAAGCCAAAGCCAAACAGAACACCCAAAGCCCAGCACCAGGCCCGAGTCCCGCAGTCCTGCAGGCGCCGTCCACCTCCTTCCCAGCCCTTTGGAGCGGCAAATGCCAAGCCCTGGACATCTCCAAAGCGCCGACCCGCGTGGTGCAGCAGCTGGCCTTCAACTGGAAGAACTGCTTGGTGCACTTCCAGGAGCCATGTACCGGGGAGGGGGAAGGAGGGAGGGTGCAACGGAAGGGGTGGGTTTGGGGTTAGAGCTGGGGGCGAAATAGCCCGGACTGGTGATCTACACCCAAGGGAAACCCAGAGGGAATGATATCTCTTGATGCTTTTCCAGGGCTACTTTTTAGCACCCATTGCAACTTGAATGCTCAATCCGCCTAAGTAGGATTCAACCATGGCGAAAATACATGGGATCTCCAAAATGAGTCCATATTTTGAGTTTGGCTTGTGCAACATAATCTGAACATAGGGTGTAACCCAGATGTGGGCCGGGTGAGGTCACCCACTTTGCTGGGGTGCCTACCTGTGCGCCAGGAGGGGTTGACGCTTTCAGGAGCCGTGCGGTTTAGGATATTCACTGTTTTTGGTTCATGTCTTTTGAGGTTCCCTCTAGGTTGTTTGAACCCGTGTTGAGCTGTTGCCACCTTTTTGTTTGGAACAAGGCCTCGTTCAAAGAACACTTGAAGACTTACTTCACTCTTCTCTGTCCCAGTTGCTGACAGGGCTTCGCATGTTTGCCAGTTGCATTTCTTGGAAAAGGGGCCTCCTTCAAGGAGACCTACGCTTTGGGGGTGTCTTTGCCACAAGCCTTGGTTTCGTTTCATCCGCCCGCACTTCAGGGGATTCTTGACCCCTCACACAGATCGAGGTCGCAATGAGACTTGTGGGGTCTTTTTTCCTTGGGTTTCCACAGGAGGCTCGCACAGGAACTTGTGGACTTCGCGATTTTTCCCAAACGAAGTCCAAATTTCGATTTCACCCCGACCGCTCGGAAGGCTGGGAATGCCCGCAGGAGACGGAGCGGGACTTTTTGGAGGCTCCGAAGTTGAAGTGGGAGATCGCCCACCGGGCGCGCAGGGGAGGGCGGGGAGGAAGGGGGGGGACTTGGCGTTGGCTCACTTTGTTGGTATGAGTCTGTGTGTTTGTGTGTCTGCGGGTGTGGGTTGTTTGTTGGTGTGGTCTTTTTCCCCTTGCGGGGGGAAGGTTGCTATTTTCGGTGTTTGCCTTGTTTTGTCTCTTCCGGGGGGAGAACCAATAAAAGAGAAACCAAAGTCCAGTTCGGAGGTCCCAGCACAAGTTGGATTCGTCAGGATCTGTGCAAACTTTTGACAGGATGTGGCCTTGGTGAGCGACCTGGCGCCATCGAGACACCCTGTTTTTGGGGTAGAGATGGTTACGAACCCTGATGGGATTTTCGACCAACAAGCAACGTCAAGACTCTACACAGAACTAGGCCATGACCCGCAGGTTCGGAGATTTTGACCACGCATGCGGTGCCCAAGCTCGTCCATGTTTTAGTGTTGACCGATGTTTTGGTGTTTGTTTATCATTTACACCCCCGCAGATTAACCTGGAAGCTCCCAAAAGGCCACTGCAAATGTAACCAGGTCGTCCAAAGGGGTTCCATATTGGCCTGGGGGATAATGAAATCTCCACGGGTTTCAACGCGCTTGGCTCGATGCGGAGGTGCCCGAGTTACATCGGCTCTCAGGGCCGCGCTGGGTTTTTGTGTCCAAAAACCCGCAGGAGCCACCGCTGGAAAAGGGGCCGGGGCATGAGATCAAACGCCTGCGCACACACACAGACACACACACACAAATAGTTATAGATGTATTTATTTATATGTAGATGTATGCATATCTATATATATATATAGAGGTATGTGTATATGGGTATCTGTGTATATGTGTATATACATATTCAACACGCATACATACGTTGATTTACATGGGTAGTTGGGGGCTTCAAGGGTGCCCGGTATTCGTTTTTGGAGGGCCATTTGTAACATCACGGCTTGGGCAAGTTCAACATTTCGTTTCTGGGGTTGGTTGGCCAGGAATACAAATTGCCCATCTTGCTTGAGGGTTTATCCTCGTCCAAGGCAGCCACTCACTTGCTAATATGCAGGTTCAACATGGCTTCGGTTCCCTTTCGCTTCCCTTCGTGTAGGTTGGAGCCGTGTGGTTGTGTTAAGTGGTTATCCTTTTGCTTTCCCACGAAAGAAAAAGACAACACCTTTGCTGCTGATTCTAAAGCAGCACTATATTCTAGACAACCCATAGGGAAACACGGTTAAAAGGGGATGTGTAGTTCATTCGCTTTGCCAAACCCAGAACAGAAAATCGGAAAGAGGCCGAGGCTCAAATGGTTTGGCACCGGCTCCTAGGGAGGCATTGTCAGGAGCCTTTCAGCTTCAACCCCTGTGAGTGTGTGCAAGTGTTCCCCGTCTACCTGGCGGGATCCTGCTGCAGCTTCATCCAGAGCTGCTGGGTTGCAAAGCTTTTGATGCAAACCTCGGGCGAACCAACCTGGATTCGTAGGGTCCAAGTGAAGGATCCCCCCCAATGGGCCAACTTTTCCGTCGATGAAGGGATTTAAACATGCCGTGGCAACTGTTACTGCTGGTCCAATTGCAAAGCTGAACTTCTATTTGCAGGGCTTTTGCTGTGTCAGTTTGCACTTCGTGGCTCAGAATTCTCATAGGGATCCCCTCAAAGCTTGTTGGTGGACACCACTCACCATGATTGTTCATTTCATCAGTGCTCAAAATCATCACCATGGTTCAAACCAGGCTCCAGAGGCAGTTTAGTCCTTTTCCAGCTGCCAAGGCGACCGAACTTGCCCTGGTTCTGGCTTCAAGGGCCCCAAGCTGGCGAGAACCCCTTCTTCCTTTGGTTTTTCTCTTGGGCGGCATTCTTACACGTCCAGCCGCTTATGATGGTGGCAGCAGGCTTTTTCATACCGCGATTGAAATGAAAGGATTTGAAAAGGATTGTTTAAAAGCACTGTGTCAACCAGCGATCCTAAGATCACTGAGAGCCCCCCAATTGAAAGGTCGCCAATGTTGCGTGAGTAATATTTGACTAGCATGTTTCCTGGTGCTGCTTGTTGTGCTCATTTTTCAGGGGCCTGCAAGGCACACTCTGTTTGCCAGGGGTTTGGTAAGCCATTGCCTCAGGCTGCAGGGTTAAAACTGAAGGGGTATGTGTGTTGCCCAGGCTCCCCTGCTTGGGTTCAGGTTTGGTTGCCAGGGGTTAAACCCTTCAGAGCACAAGTGCGGCTCACGGAACAGGGACGGCTCGGAAGATGGGAGACTCATTTTTTCAACCCACAAAAGCGAAAACTGAACCCCTATAGCTTTCCCATGCCCGCAAAGGAGTAACTTTCGCATTTTCAGACTTACATGTTGGGTTGGCAAACTTCAAACGTTTGGCCTGTTTTGCAGCATCATCATCATCGTCGTCGTCGTCGTCGTCATCCTCCTCATCATCATCATCATCATCATCATCATCATCATCATCATCATTTTCGTCAATGCTCAAAAAAGGAATGTCAGCATTTGAGCCCATGAAAAACACATTGTTCCAGCCAATTCTACTTAAAAGGCACCCAAGGTTCTGCTAGCTGACACCCGCAAGACAGACACAAAACCCAGCTCGAAACCACAAAGCCTATTGCCAACACTTCTCCCAACGCTAATTTCTTTCATAGTCTCAAGGGGTGCCTTTGCCAAAAAAAAACGAAAACCCCTCAGGATGGTAGGCATGAACACTGGACAGCCCCTGGAGTTCTGGTAATCCGAGGGTTTTTCCAAGCACAGATGGCACAGCTTTTTAAAACCCTTCATGTCATACAAAAATAAAATTAATCCGAGGCACCCCAATTGCCTTGGGCAATTTGGTTGCGTCCTTCTACTTTCCTAGAGCTGTCCATGACCAACTTGGCGGAGAGGCTAGGGGAGGTTTTTTTTGGGACCCTCCAAGTTCCGACCTTTTATTGGACCCCAAGGGGCGTTTTGTTTTCGCAGGAGGGACTGTGTGAAACATTGATATGGGTGTTTCTGAAAACCCGGGTCCCCTTGGATGGTAGCGAAGGGAAACCAGAGGGACCCCCACAATTTTGCTTGTTCCAATTTCTGTTTGACATGTACCCATATGACATTATGTTGAGTTCACTCACCTTTTCCAAGTCAACTCAGTTTGACCCAGGTCCTCCCTTCATGAAGCACGTGAAGCCGCCAAACGAGGGAGTTGCTGATGCGCTTTGAGCCTTGGCCGGGAATCAAAGAGACCCCGAAAAGAAGTGGTCCGTACATCAGTTGTTCAAAGCCGACCTTTTGTGGGGGGGGGGTGGGGGGTGGTTGGAAGTCTCCAGGGGGAGGGGGGAGGGGTGGTGACCTTTTGGTTTTCCCCGTGGTCGGTTTTTAGCCATGGCCCAGAAAGGTGATCTGTAATTTTCAGGTTGTTTTGGGCCCGGTTACAGCTCCCTTGAAAATGGTTCAATATGGTTTCAAGAAGTTCCATGTGTCGCTTTAGTATTTTGGGTCGGAGGGGGGAGTCATTCCAAGAAGGAGGCAACAAAGCCGTGCTTTATGCGTGAAGCCAAGGCATAATCTCATGCACGCAAAGAGACTGGCGAGGCGTGAAGCAGGTCAATCCTGCAAGCGCTTTCGATTCGGGTTGCGGCTATTCGGTCGGTTGACCTCGCTGGGCGGCATGCAATTGCAAGGGATCATGTGCATTTTCGAAGAAAAGGCAGGGCTCAACTGCCAATCGCGGACGCAGCCTGAAGAGAAATAGAAGGAGGTCAAGGGGTGGACGTCGCGTTCGCATTTGCGAGCAGGTTGGGCACTTCAGTTCCTGAGGCCCTTTTAAACTGCCCATTGGCCCTTGGGCCTGCAAGAAACCTCACGTCCTGGGCTCCTGAACTTTGCACCTTTTGGGCTTGGACCATTTTGGTGGTAAGCAAGTTTGGATCTTTTTTTGGCCAATCCACTCGGGACGTGAGAAGCAGGGTTCCCTATAGTTCACTTTGTGGTGTTACACGTCACCTTTTAGGGCCCGGTGAGTTTCCTTAGGCGTATTTCATATAGGAACAGCCAAGGCCTAGAGAAGAAGACAGCGCCGGCTGAGTCGGTATACCAGCCCTCCGGCTGCATGTGTTTTGTCCTGCGATCCTCAAAACTTGGCTGTCTTTTTGGAGGGTTGACTGGGAGCCAAAAGACAAGATGACAGTTTTGGAGGGGTCCACCAACAACAAGACAAGCAAAATCAAAGGACTCATGTAAAGGGGCTTGAAAAGAGGTTTGGTTCCAAATCAGTTGGCTACAACCCCATCTTTTGGCAGAACCGCCAAACCCGCGGAGCACATTCCTTCAGCGTGCTTTCTGTGGGTGATATGACCGTTCGTCCATTGCGGTTGCTGAGCCAGGTGCCAACTGCCATGCTTTGATCCCGTGTGTTTTTGAGGGTAGCCTTTCCAGGCAGGTTTAAAACGAAGCGGAAAGGACACCCACCATTCGTTTTGTTTGGGACACACGCCGCGCGCCCAAGTACTGTCAGTAGCGCAGATGTTTTCAGAAGACAGCCGCGCCTAGCCAAGCCAACAAGGGTGGACGCGGTCGGCCGAATCAGCTACCAGGATGAATTTGTGCTGAAAAGTCCACGACGATTTGCTAGTTTCCTAAACCACCCAGGGATAGCTTGAGCTTGTGTCATCAGAATTTCCCTGGAAACCTTGACACGATGCTGGGGCCCCGAGAATTGGTTGGTTTCCATTTAATTGGCTTTGCTTCATAAGCACCCACGTGTGGAGTTCCGGCCAAGGGCCGGCCCTTCTTTCAACAGGGCTAGGCTTGGACATCTTGGACTTATGCCGGACCCGTCAATATAGGGCTTCCGCGCCGCCAACCAGACGAGTTCGGATTGCTAGGGATGCTCGGCCGCTTGGGTCCCGCTTTGGCCGCCGGTCGCTTCCGTAACAACCACGCAGCTTGGACGTTTTTCGGCCACTCGGGAAGTGAGAGCATGGTGGCGTTCCCTCTTTCCCTGTGTTCCACCCCAAGCAGGGTACAATTGAAACAGACACCTTTTGTTTTGCCTTAGGTTGTTTCAGTTTAGTGCCACCCTCTCAAAACCCAAGACCAACAACCCGTTTTCTACCAGATTCACTGTGCGGGGTCGTTAACCCCCCCCTTCCCCCCCACAAATGCACATGGAACCCCAAAAAGCCACCATGTGGGCAACTCGACCCCTTTTTTCTTCTCTGGGTTCCATGTTAGTTTGTTGCCTTGCCCAGGGCCTCCTTCAAGCCGGGCTTCGAAGATCTCTTCGCAGTCTCCGAAGTGGTCGCTGGGAAACGCCTCCAATTGGCGCCAGATCCGAGAACTGCCGAGCACTACGCACGGGTCTTTAAGGCCGGGCCCGTCTTGGGGGGGTAGGCTCCACAGGTCTTCTTTGAAATTGTGGGTTTTCCGGAACACGCTTCCTTTGAACCTAGGGTGTCTAAATGTTTTCTTTGAAATGGGGGGGGGTGCCAAAAACACATTCGACACAAAGGCTCCTATTTTTTGAGGCTTGTGCAGGCTCCTTTTTCATTCTGTTTGGTGTACCTTTCAGGTCATTGAAGCACAAAAAACGGTATACTAAAAATGTGTTGATGTCCTCTTGTCTCCTTTCAATCGGGGAGGGGGGGTGCACGTGACTTGTGGGTCTGCTGCTGGCCCCCTAGGTGCTTTTGGGCATGTGGCTTTGTCGCAGCATGGGAAACCCCGTTAGGACGTGGGATGTTGTTTTTCTAGCTTTCGATTGAGAACTTGGGGCGCGAGTCCAATTTCCCATTTGACACATCCTTCTGGAAGGAATGCAAGAAACACGGCATCTCACTGGGGTTCCTGGGCTTTTTCGGAAAGCCCGAGTTAGTTGCAAACGAGAAGGTGCTGACTGTTTCTTGATCAATGCAAAAATGACTCGGCTTCGGCATCTCGAGCGCAGGCGTTCCGAGGATCGCAGGCGCGGCAGCACGTGGTGCTGCGCTTCGCCAGTCGGATGGCTGCTTTCCGGCAGCCTGGCTGCATATGATTGTCTCAAAATGGGGGAACCGACTATAAGGTAAGTCTTGCACAGGAGCCGGTTCAACCATTGGCCCCGATTTTCCTGGCACCCCCCCTTGATCTGTGGTTTTGTTCTTTCTTTTTTTCCTCTTCTTCTTCTCCGGCGAAGGCCATCAGTCCCAGGCAGTTGAGTCATCATGAAATCAAAGCGCATGACAAATTGGACCAGGGCGGGCCAAACCCGTTGGTCGTGGTTCGGCCAGGGTTCAGCCGGGCTATAGTGAGAGGGTCTGTCATGGTTGAGGCCAAAATGGGAAACCTGGACTTTGCCTAAGTTGGCTTCATAAGGCCCATAGCTATATAGAGTCCATGGTAGGACCCAAAGTGACTGGGTCAAACGGGTCCCAGCTCGAGGGATTGCTCATGTGTGTTTGGCAGCTTTTGCCATCCCTCGTCGTTTTGGGTGTATTTTGGCCCGTCCTGTTGGGGGGGGGGGGGTTAGCAAACTTCACTTTCACAACGAGAACTTCGGGTTAGGCTCTCCCGCTGTTTCGGATGTTTGCAGTGTGGTGGGAACGAACTTTTCCACTTGCGATGATCACTCATGGGGAAGGCCTTCCAGGCTCAGAAAAAGCAACCAAAAGATGGATCGTGTGTGTTTGTTTTCTCAGACCCCATCTTCAGCAGCTCTGCCTGTCTAGATCCCCCAGTGCCCTTTTGCCTTCTTTTGGGGCAGGGTTCCCCTACTAAAATAGACTACAGACCAAAGGGTACCCTTATTCTAACCTCTCTACTGGAGGACCTAGCTGTGAACTCGCAGGTGCCAGGCGAGATCTCGACAGCTGAGGACCTGGCGGGAGGCTTGCAAGAAGGCCGAGACCGAGACCGTGGCCGACGGAGCCGGGGAGGCCGTCGCTTGGCACATCTTCCGCTGGCCGTTTGGGCCGGATGTCCCGTTTGGGGGTCTTTACCCGGAGATTTTATGAACCAGAGTCAGGAAATAAATCGTTGGGGGGGGGGGCAGCTTTATTCCTTTTTCGCTTTGTCATTGAATGGCCAATATACGTGTGTTGACATGTTGGCCATCTTGAAAGTTCAACTCCCCTGTTGTGCTTCAAGGTTGTGCCAAGTCCTTCTTTCAACATGTGTTAACCAATTGTTGAAACAAACTGTTTTCGTGGTTTCCCTTGTAGTGGGGCCAGGGGTTGGTTGGCCAACCCTGGTGACACATCGCTTGTGTAGGAGACCCCTCAAAATGGCGGTTTTGCTTCAGACCTTCTTTACAGGCACCAGGCTGCCAGATACCTAAAAAGGGACAGCACACACACACGCACACACACACACACACACACACACACACACACACACACACACACACACACACACACACACACACACACACACACACACACACACACGCACACACACACAGACACAGACAGAGGGACAGGGACAGGGACAGAGACAGAGAGACACACACACACACCCACACACCCACACACACACACACACCCACACACCCACGCCCACACGCCCACACGCACACGCACACGCACACGCACACCCACACGCACACCCACACACACACACACACACCCACACACCCACACACCCACACACACACACACACACCCACACACCCACACACCCACACGCGCACACGCGCACACGCGCACACGCGCACGCGCACGCGCACGAGCACGAGCACGAGCACGAGCACAGGAACGAGCACGAGCACGAGCACACGCACACGCACACGCACACGCACACGCACACGCACAGGCACAGGCACAGGCACACGCACACGCACACGCACGCGCACACGCACACGCACACACCCACCCACCCACCCACCCACCCACGAACCCACAGACAGACAGACAGACAGACAGACAGACAGACAGACAGACAGACAGACAGACAGACAGACAGACAGACAGACAGACAGACAGACAGACAGACAGAGACAGACAGACAGACAGACAGAGACACAGAGACAGACAGAGACAGACAGAGACAGACAGAGACAGAGACAGACAGAGACAGACAGAGACAGACAGACAGACAGAGACAGACAGAGACACACAGAGACAGAGACAGACAGACACAGACAGACAGACAGACACAGACAGACAGACAGACAGACAGACAGACACAGACAGACAGACACAGACAGACAGACAGACAGACAGACACAGACAGACAGACAGACAGACAGACAGACAGACAGACAGACACACACAGACAGACACACAGACAGACACACAGACAGACAGACACACACAGACAGACACAGACAGACACACAGACAGACACACACAGACACACACAGACACACACAGACACACACAGAGACACACAGAGACACACAGAGACACACACACACACAGACACACACAGACACACACAGACACACACAGACACACACAGACACACACAGACACACACAGACACACACAGACACAGACAGACACACACAAACACACACAGACACACGCAGACACACGCAGACAGACACACACAGACAGACACAGACAGACACACACAGACACACACAGACACACACAGACACACACAGACACACACACACAGATACACACAGACACACACAGACACACGCACTCACACAGACAGACACACACAGACACACACAGACACACACACACACAGACACACACACACAGACAGAGACACACAGACACACACAGACACACACACACAGACACACACACACACAGACAGACACACACAGACACACGCAGACACACAGACACACACACAGACACACACACACACACACACACACACACACAGACACACACGCACAGACACACACAGACACACACAGACACACACACAGACACACACAGACACACACACACAGACACACACACTCACACAGACAGACACACACAGACACACGCACACAGACACACACACAGACAGAGACACACAGACACACACACAGACACACACACACACAGACACACACACAGACAGACACACACAGACACACGCAGACACGCAGACACACACAGACACACACAGACACACACAGACACACGCAGACACACGCAGACACACACACACAGACACACACACACACAGACACACACAGACACACGCAGACACGCAGACACACACAGACGCACACAGACACACACACAGCCACACGCAGACACGCAGACACACGTATCCACCCCACCCACGCACGCACCCACCCACCCACCCACCCACCTACTCACGCACGCACGGGGGCACGCACATTCATGGGAACCCGACGAGGCCGAAGCCGAAGCCGTGGTACCTGAAGCGCCTGAAGCCGCGCCGATGCCGATGGAAGCGGAGGTGACAGGAGCCAGCAATGGAACATATGAGGCGGCTTCCTTGTAGGGTGAGAATGGATGGGACTGGATTCAGTTTGATTCGGATTTTTTCCTAGCGCCATTTGTTTTGTCAAACGAAAGCTAGGATAGGGACCCTTTTCTGGATGTTGCATTTTCAAGCGAATTTCGCAGGAGCTGAAAAGCTCATTTTTTTGTGCGGGGGGGGGGCCTTTGTTTAGGAACACCCAAATGTGTCAGAATTAGTCGGACTCCTAGCCAATCCAAATTGGTCGAAAGCCCAGTCCCTAGAGGGATGGGTGGTATTGAAAGAGATTTCGTCGGGCATGGTTGGTTTTCCTTCGCAAGCCATGCGCAAGTATCCCTTTTTGAGAGACCAATCTCCAAGTCAAATGGAGAAAGCGGACACGTGCCAACATTGGTCTGGCCGTGGCAAGAAATGAGAGGTTGCGTGAGGCGAAACCAATGAGAACCAGCCATTTCTCCGGATGCACGATTTTTGGATAGGCCGGTTGTGCAAAGCTCATGTTGACCAAAAGTCAAAACAAGGCGAGTGGCTGGGATTCCAAGCGATATTGCATTTTTTGCTTTACGTTGAGGCACCCGAACGTTGACCAAGCAAACGGCACCTCAGCTTTGCATGGAAGGGCGTGTCTTCTCGACCCCTTCAAGATCAAGATCCCTGGATCGATCCAACTTTGTTGCCTTAACAGGACCCCGTTTGGAAGGACCTGGGAAAGCAGAGAGTTTCTCAGGAGACGACAACGAAGCTAGCGAGGCGATGCCTGCTGATGAAGAACCAGTGCATCTTGGCTCATTTGAGCTGAGCCCTTGCAATAGCGAACTTTGCTACCGTTCAAAGCAAATTGTGCACCCAATTTGTGTGGCGTTGTTCAGTGGAGGTGGGAGTGGGAGGGGGAGCGATCAAGGATTTATGGCCTTTTCAGTTTCAAACACCGCTTGAGTTGCAACCCACCTCAGCTACCACCAAAAAGGTGTGCAATCGTGACACATCCTGGAATGGAAACGATCAGAAGCCATGCAAACGGCATCGACGTGACAAGGTGAAGCCTCCTTACAGCATCGGCACCGGCAAAATAACACCTTGTGCTGCAACGCTAGGTCCTGCTTCAAACTTGACGTTTCCTGAGCAACGCAGAGCAGCCTGAAGTTCAAAACGGACACAAGCGGCCAACAGTGATAGTAGTTTGGGTTTGTAAAGCGAAGGCGCCGCTTCAAATGAAGCCTGTAGAGAGGTTGGCCCATGAGTTCGACTGTTGTTCGATATCATTAAAGGTAAGCAAACTACGTGGGTTTTGCTTTTTCTTTTTAATAAAGTCAGCCAACTCAAAGCGAGCACCTAAGCCCCGCTTGGGGCATATCAGGTAGATTTAGTATCTGGCTTTCAAGTTGTAATACGGCTCCTATAGTAGCTCTTTTAACTTATTGCTAAAAACACATGGCACTGGGCTTTGGTTGCTCCTGTGAGTTTGAGTTGATACCGTGGACGACATCCGTCTCGCACCACTTTGAACCCACCGTTGAAACCATCGTTCGGTTGGTATTTGCCTTGAGGAATCGAATCAGTCCAGCGGTGCGAAATGGATTCGTTCCCAGCCTCAGGCGCGAGGCCAAGCATTACGAAGACACCGGCGGCAACGCCGAAGTCTTCCGGCCGCGGAACGCTGCGAAGGGCCTGACGTGGCTGAAGTGCATGTGGTCGCGCGCCTGGAATGCCCAAGGCCGGGAAGCGGGGATGTCACTGCGACCCAGAAGAACGGCTTGTCAAGTTTTGGGGAGACACTTGGCTGGATACATGCTTACTACCAACACCTCATGGGTGAGGGCAATGGTCTTGCACGTTCCTGCTGCAAGGATTCTTTCGTCTCACTTGGCGTGGGTTTGGAGCCTCAGGCCTTCAAATTGCTTTGTGGGCGCCTCAGGGTGCACAGGCTGAACCCCTGGGTGTTGCCAGACTTAGCCTAGCTTTAAAACTGGTTGAACTTAGGGGTGTCCTTTCATTTTCCGCTTCGACCTTGTAAAAAGTCAACTTGTGTTTCCAGGCGGGCTCCCCAGTTGAGAGCCACTGTCAGGGATCCCCCCCCCTTCACAGAGACCCTAAGGGTTCGGGGACGAAAGGCCAAACAAGGGGATGTTCTTTTAGATTTCAGGCACTCTCTCCCTCTCTCTCTCCGCTGACTGGCGGACAAAGTTAAGTCTGCTAAGCTGAGCGCTCTGAACGCAACTAAAGGCCCCTAGCCTGCCGTCCTCCTCCTTTTGGGAGTGGAGGCACTGACGTCCGCCCTTGGGCCCGCCGAATTTCTCTTCGCCGCCCTGGGCTTTGAAGGCTTGAAAAAGGCGTCAGCGACCCTGACCCGGAGCTTCTCCGAGGTCAAGTATATCTTCACTTGCTTTCCTCAGTAGGCAGGCGCACGGCAGTAGCGGACATCTTTCAAGAGCGTCTCTGGGGAGTCAATCCCTACGGCATGCGCCTACAGGCCTTTGTCTCTCCAGTGAGCTGCATTGCACTCTCACACAGGCCTTTGTCTCTTAGGCACTCTCAGGGCAGCTCACAACTTGGGGTGGTGGTCGCAATCCAAAATTCGCCCCGGAAGGATCCTTTGGAGGGTGGATGTTCCAATCAAGTACCCGTCAGTTTAGATGAAACCCGCCCTTTGAGGGGGGAGATGCACTCACAAACAACCATCCATCAGAGATCATCAAGCAAAGTGACATATGAGTGTACATAACTTGCATGTTCAAAATGCGCTTATCCTATTTGAGCATGGGACGGAGGCCCATCTCAAGATAAGAACCATCCAGGCGAGCGGCTCAGCGACTTCCAGCACGCCCTGCAGGAGACAGCGTTGCCCGTTCAAGCGCGCCTGCCTGATATTGCACAACAGCAACTTGCTTGTTGTTTTTGTGCGTGTGTTTCTTGGAGCAGCTTTGTTGGGCCTTCGGATTTGCGCCGAAGGCGTAGGTTGGGAGGAGATGCCCAAAGGCCACATGCTGGCAGGAGATGCCGCCACCGGTGCTGGAGGAAGTGGCCCCGCGGAGTCTCCGGCGCTGGCTGCTGCGAGGCAAGGGGCTAGGGAGCCATGGCCACCCCAAAGGCCTTTGCCCTTTTCCAGCCTTTGGGGGAGCCAAAAACAAGGCCGGTGTCTAGGACCTGTAAAAGGGATAATTAGAGGTGAGAAGGCACGCGTGGCCAAGCATTGCGAGTTGGGCGTTTGTAAAAGTAAATGCATAGGCAAATGAACAAATATATACTGTAGGTATATAGAAATAATATGCGGAGCACTGCGGTTGCTTCGCAGACACCTTGGTCCAAGGAGGGGGCCAACTGAGGCTTCCCCAGAGCCCCCATCCTCATTTGTTTCCTTTTGGCCAAGTTTCCCTTATGAATCCAAATCGGCGAAGCCGCCAACGTGGCGCGTTTCTCTCGCCGGATTTGAAGGCGGCAAGTGGGACTTCAGCTTGAAGCCCTGGCCCCAGCTGGACACCCACGTGGTCGCCAGCGATGCGGTGCTGCCGAAAGCCAAGGAAGCCAAGGAAGCCAAGAAGCCCAAGGCCAAGGCCAAGGCCGGAACCGGCCGGAACCGGCCGGAAGGGACCCGGAACCGGCCGGAAGGGACCAGAACAAACAGAAGAAACCAGCAACCACGGCGGAAAGACTGAGGGAAATTATGAGAAATGGTCCAAATCGGAAATGGTGCTCGATTCCTTCGGGCTGCCAGTCGGGTAATTTCAGTCGGAACTTCCCCCCCAAAAAGAACTTGGAACCTGCCCCAGGGCTGCAAGCGGATTGGACTTGTAAGGAATAAGTTGCCATGCAAGAAAACATATTCTGTCAACATCGACTCTTCTTTGTTGTGTGCCTAAAGGGCACGTTCAATCTGATTACACTCCAGAAAAAAATGGACCCTCGATTGGACCATGTTCCCCATCACCTAGCCTAAAAGGATCACTTCACTCGGAGAAAATTCACTTTCGGACCACAAAGTGGCGATTACACAAAAGATAGGAATTTGCAGAGTTAGCCCTGTTTGTTGCCATGGAAGCCGAGGTAACCCACACAGACCCTACCGCATATAGGAGGTTTGGTCAGAATAATAATTAATTAAGAGTAGTCGATGCTTCATTTGAGATGGGCATGGAACTCACTAAATGTCCGATGTCCTCTGGGGGAAGAATTGGTTTTGGTTGTAGCTACGTTTGAGCCAGCGTTCCCGAGGCAAAGACCAAGAAGGATAAGGAGGCAGAAGATAAAAAGGCCGCGTCCAGCTGGGAGGCGACCCTTGCAGGACGAGAGATCACGCGCAGTATGCTGTAACATGACCCCCTGACCCGAACAGACGATTATACAGTGAAATCAGGCTTTTTCAGCTTGGCTGAAGTGGCCTCGACCCGTCGCACAAGGTACCTTGCTGTGTTTTGCAGGCTGGACAGCATGTTGGGCCAATCTCGTGAGATGTTCCCTGGTGGGTTTTCACCTGCATCGTTGTATGCCGTGATCCCACGTGCCATAGAAATGCAGCTGCATGGTTGTTGAGCCTTACCCGCCTCAGCACGTTCTGCGTTTCAAATCCTCAAAGAGGGTGTGTTCCGCTATGAAGGCAGCGCCCTCGAGTATGCATCTCAGTGTCGACTACTTAGTGCTGGCTGATGCTGCAAGATGACCACCCCTGGCAGTTGGCCAATTAGAGTCTCCATTCCGCAGCTTGTCTCACAGCGCATGTTTGTCTTTAGATTTTTCCTGTGAGCCAAGGCCTGAGCAAAAACTGTCACGGGCCTTTGCAGTTTTGTGCCCTCAGTGCCTGGTCCATTGGCCCCATCCAAATTGATGGCGCCTTGGACCCTTTGGTGTGTCCTGGGCTTTTGCCCACGGCGTTGCACTCTGTCCGGTCAGGAGGCATCGTGTGACATTCTCTCGAGACAATAGTTCCTGCACCCTCTCAGGCAGGCTCACACGATTACATGGACAGGCCCGCCCTTCCCGATTGGTTGCTGGTTTCATGTCAGTTTCCTTCGGTGAAGTGAGGTCATTATCCGGGGGACATGTAAGGACACCTGGATCGAGTAGGCAACATGTTGGGGGACCGCACGGGTCTTCGGAATGTACGTTGGTGGGTGGCGAAGGCTGATGGGTTGACTTGCCACCTCCTATTTCCCTAAAACAAGGCCCTGGCCGTCTTGGGGAGCGTAGCGGGCAGGAGCCAGGGGCATCGAGAATCCCTTAGCGGGCAAAGAGCAGCAATGGAGCACCGACTTCACTGCGATTGTGCCGCTGGACGCTGACGCGCTTTGGCGATTTTGATGGGGAGGCCGTTCAATCAACGGCGTGAGCATTGTCAAACAAGGGGTGCCCAAACCCTGGTGTCTCTTTTGCTTTTCTTTTTGGGAGAGGTTGAAAGAGGGGTGATGACCACTTTCGTGGGGCTTTCGATGGGCTCCTTTTGGGCAGGGCGAAGCGACTTGAACCCCATAAAGTCCGGAACCGCCTCAGGTATTTTTATTGTTGTGATAGTTATGGTAATCGCTTTGTGGTGGGCTGGAG